CCTGTACCCAGCCAGACTGACAGGAAGTGCTCTCAAAGTGAGCAGTTCCTGTCAGTCCAGCCGGGTACAGGAAACTGAAGCTCCTGTACCATGGTCCACTCTGCTCCCCTTGGCCACGCTACACTGAGTGACTGGTAGGGGGTGGGGCCTTATGGAGGCTGGGTGGATTTAAATTAAAATTTAAATAAATAATAATTTGTTAGTGTTGGGGGAAGTGTCTGTGAGTAAATGTGTGTGTGTGTTTGTCTGTGAGTGTCTGTAAGAGTGTGTGTGTCTGTGAGGCAGTGTGTCTGTCAGTGAGTGTGTGCATCTGTCAGTGAGTGTGCGCCTGTCAGTGAGTGTCTGAGTAATAGTGTGTGTGTATGTCATTGTTTGTCAGTGTATATGAGTGTGTATCTGTCAGTGAGTGTGTGTGTGTGTGTGTGTGTGTCTGTCAGTGAAAATGTGTGTTGGTTAAACAGTATGTGTGCCAATGATTGTATCTTTTAGTGAGTGTATTTCAGTGAATGCATCAGTAAGAAAGTGTCTGTCAGTTAAAGTGTGACCTTGACAGGAAGGGGTGGGGAAAAATGTAAATATTGGGGGGTCCCCGAGCACCGTCCTACCGGGGGGGTGGGGGTCCCTGAGCATCGTCCTACCTAGGGCAGCACAAATCCAAAATACACCACTGCTGCTCTCTGGACTCCTGTAAAAACCGTAACAAGTACACTTCATTATGTAGGCGACATTTTAATCCTGGCCTGATAGTCATTTCTCCATAGAAAATTGGAACCATATCTACAGATTTCTCTAAACAGCATGATTCACTTATGAACCACAAAAAGAGCCAGTCTGTTTTATCACAATAGACAATTGTTTTTGGATCCATATCCATATTAAACAACAGAAAAGGTACTGTACAGCTTTCTGCTGAAAGAGTAGTGAAACTGAGGAAGATGTTCAGACCTATTTGTTTCATTCTGAATCTAATTGTGTCCAAATTTGGAAGCTTCTGAATTTTCTAATTCTGTACAAACACAAAATGAACCAAACAAATTTGGGATGAGCTGAAATTAACAATCTCCATTTCTTAAATTTTCTTTTTTAGTTGCTTAGTAGATACGTCTCTAATCTGATACCCCAAATATGGCATTCCCACTTAATAAGGATAAGGATACCAAAGTGGGGAGTGATCTAGCTGAAAGTATAAAATTATGGATAAAGCTCTTTCTTAATTTAGTTTTTTTCAGACAGCTGTGTTTAGTAGAGAGCTTCCTAATTTGGTAACGTTATGTGGGATTACTATTTTTATGTATCTCAAATAAGGGAGTTATCTGCTAAACTGTGCCCTAAATCTGTATCCTCTGAAATAATGGGAATATTAACGTCCGAATTTCATTTCATTCCAAATCGATAAATTCTGGATTTCAGAGGACTTGAAATTAAAAAAATTAACAAATAAAATTTAACTAAATTTTTAGCTTGTACACCTCTCTACATTATACCTCATAATATGAACTATTATTTTTTTATTTACTTTTCCACTGTTTTTTCCATGCTTTGTTTCATACAATACTTCTCATCTCATACTAAACTGCTCACAAAGCAAAATATTTTAGCACAAAATATGGATTTTATCAAAAAGTCACTATAAACACCAAAACCACTTCAGCTGGATGATGTAGTTAATGTGCAAAGATCCTGTCCTTGCTGTCATAGATTTCTTTTTTTTTAAATTTATAAATCTTTATTAACTATTTAGAAATATATCATGCATGTTTCACAAGTGATACAACTAATTGAATTTTGTATATATCATATATTTCAATGACACATAAATCACAACCAGTCATAACATATTCATACAAAGGGAATATAACATAACATTTGTTTTCAAGGAGGTCACATTTTTTTATTTTTTTTGTTATTACTCCTTGAGACATAAATCTTTGTTCCAATTTATATTGGCATGTTATTTGATTACAAACTGTTGTCCAATTAATTTCATCAGAAGATTTCTAGTTGCAAGCTATAACGATCTTGACTGCCATTAAGCTATGGACTATTAAAGGGACACTATAGTCACCAGGACAACTACAGCTTAATGTATTTGTTCTGGCAAGTAAAGTCAGTCCTTGTAGGCTTTTTTGCAGTAAACAGAGTGCCCCTGACATTACAGCCTAGGGACACCTCCAGAAGCCACTCCACAGAGGTACTTCCTGGGGCAGTCAGTGTCTCCACCCTCTGCATAGAGACACCGTGATTCAATGCATCTCTATAAGGAGATGCTGATTGGCTAGGGGGAAGTTTGGTTTCCGCCCCCACCCCAACTGCTTGGCTGAGATTATCAGAATTGACAACCTCAGCCAATCCAATGCTTTCCTGTGGGAAAGCATTGTGATAGGCTTAGATCATCACTTCTGATGATGTCAGCCAAGGAGGCAGATCAGGGGCAGAGCCAGCATCAGCAGACTGGAATAAAGATATGATTTTACTATATTTAGAAGAGCCGGGGGGGAACTAAAAGCAGCCCTGGAAAAAATTCTATACCCGCCCAATACGTCGCACCAGCATAGTGTGCTGATATAGAGGTGGAAAAGATAACTTAAAATTGAGAACTATTACTCTAACGAAAGAAAGCATATAGGGCTTCAAAATAAACAAAAGAGCACCTTTGCATTTAATCAATGTTTCAGTCCAACTATCTTGACATATTAAAGAACTTTTAGTAATGGGACTGAAATGGTGAATGTATGTGGTTGCACAGCTGTAAAAAAGTTATCTTGTTTATTTTGAAGTCCTATGGGTGTGCTCTTCACTTTGAATATGTTATTGTGCTGGAGTATGCAACTAGCAACAAAACTGGGCAAATACGTGCTCATTCCATATATGTTATATATTAATGACATTTGTGTGTATTATGCATATATAAATGTATATTAACATTTGTGTAAATATTATAGGCATAATTATATATGTTACTAATACACACATTAATATATATATATATATATATATATATATATATATAGTAACAAACCACCTCTTTTACAGGTAGGATTGTCACAGATCTTGCAGTAACCACAGCCTTCTAGGGTATACAAAGTCCAGGACACATTCAGCTCAGTTTTCCTTTTTATTTGATAAAAAGCAGGTGCTTTAAATAATAACAAACAAACAAAATCCATTGCTCTTACTTGAGCTCTTACTAGACAGGAATTACTATCTGTAATTGGGTGGCTTTCCCACTTACCAATTTTCCAAAAAAAAAAAAAAATAGCTTTGCAATAAACACAAGTGTTGTTCGCTCTCCTAGCTGGCTTTTTCTCCCTCACTCTGCAGCAGGCTGCTCTCTTCTTTTAAAAGCCTGTCTACTAATTGACTAGCTACAGGTGAGTGCCAGTTAGTAAACCCTTAAGTCAGATCCAAATTGTGGTGTGTTACACAGCAACTAGTGCTGTTGGAGCATTGGCCCACCCTGCTCTCCAAATACTCCGCCCCAGGGACCCATACCATGTTTTGTAGAGCATCAGCAATGTATATTGCAAACTTTAAAATCTCTCCCTGGGGCATTTAACTGAAAATTCTCTGGTTGCTGTTTAGCAAATCAGGCGTGATGTATCTTCCGTCAACCACTATTCCACTTTTACGCTCACATATCCTCCCCCCCCAGCTCATACCCATGGGTTTGAGCGACCATGGAAATCAGAGAGTGAACCCTGGAAAGCCCATCAGCATTAACTTGTTGCAGACCAACCCTGTGTTCAACAGTGAAATTAAAAGATTGTAAACTCAAAAACCATCTGGTTACTCTGGAGTTATTTTCCTTGTTCTGATACATCCATGTCAGAGGTGCATGGTCCGTTATCAATCAGAACTTTCTGTCCAGCAGGTAGTATTTAAGAGAGTCTAACACCCACTTAGACAAGACACTCTTTTTTCAACCATAGAGTAGTACTTCTCATGTGGATTTAATTTCCTGCTCAAAAAGAAAACAGGGTGTTCTTCACCCTGGTATTCCTGTGAAAGAACAGCCCCCAAGCCCACATCAGAAGCATCTGTCTGAACTATAAAGTCCCTGGAAAAATCTGGGGTCACCAAGGCAGGATGGCTACAGATAGCTTCCTTCAGACTCTTAAAAGCCTTTTCTGCCTCAGGGCACCATTTAACTATAACCAGGGATTTTGCTTTAATAAGGTCTGTTAGAGGTGCAGCAATGTAGCAAAATCTGGGATGAACCGCCTATAGTATCCAATTAAACCCAAAAATGCCTTTACTTGTTTTTTTGTAAGGGGCTGTGGCCATTTTTGTATGGCTTCCACTTTGGCTTCCTGTGGTTTAACCAAACCCCTCCCAATAGAATAACCTAAGTACTTTGCTTCCTCTAAACCAATAGTACACTTGGAAGGATTGGCAGTTAAGCCAGCTGAGCGGATAGCATCAAGCACCGCTTGAACTTTGGGGAGGTGGGATTCCCAGTCTGAACTGTGGATGACAACATCATCCAAGTATGCTGCAGCATAACGAACATGAGGTTTAAGAATTCTGTCCATCATTCGTTGGAATGTGGCAGGTGCCCCATGTAACCCAAATGGCAATACAGTGTACTGAAACAGGCCACTGGGTGTTGAAAAGGCTGTCTTTTCTTTGGCTCTTTCAGTGAGAGGGACCTGCCAGTAACCCTTTGTTAAATCCAAGGTTGTTAGATAACGAGCTTTACCTAGTCTTTCTATTAACTCATCAACTCTGGGCATTGGGTAAGCATCAAATTTTGAGATGGCATTTAACTTGCGGTAGTTATTACAGAACCTCCATGTGCCATCAGGTTTTGGCACCAATACAATAGGACTACTCCAGTTACTATGGGATTCTTCAATGACTCCAAATTTTAACATGTTCTCAACCTAAGTTTATAACCTCCCTCCGGGCCTCAGGAATTCTATAGGGTTTGAGGTTAACTCTTTTCCCTGGTTCGGTTATTATGTCATGTTTAATCACCTTAATGTTTCCTGGAACTACCGAGAAAACATCCCTATTTCTTCTGATTAAATCTCTGACCTCTTGCTTTTGATGTACAGACAGAGTCTCAGATACGTTTACCTCCGGCTCTACTATAGGAGGTTCTGAAGGTTTTAAAGCAACCAGGACCTCCCTGTCTTTCCATGGCTTTAACAGATTTATATGAAACAATTGTTCAGGCTTTCTTCATCCTGGTTGTCTGACTTTATAATTGATATCACTCACCTTTTCTATTATTTCATAGGGTCCATGCCAAGTCACAAGGAACTTGTTCTCCACAGTAGGGACCAGAACCAAGACCTTGTCTCCAGGTTGGAACACTCTGACTCTAGCATTACGGTTATAGCTGTTTTTCTCAGCCTGCTGGGCTCCAGCATGTGTTCCCTGACAACAGGCATGATGGTGGCCATTCTATCCTGCATTTGAGCTATATGCTCAATTACACTCCTGTGAGGAGTAATCTCCTGTTCCCAGGTCTCCTTAGCAATATCCAATATTCCCTTGGGATGTCTTCCATATAACAATTCAAAAGGAGAGAAGCCCAATTTCTTCCATCTGCATCAATTACCTTACGTAGCATACTCTTAAGGGTTTTGTTGAACCTCTCTACTAAACCATCAGTCTGTGGGTGATATACTGAGGTCTTAAGATGTTTAACCCGCAAGAGCCTGCACAACTCTTTTGTGACTCTGGACATGAACGGGGTCCCCTGATCTGTCAGGATTTCTTTAGGGATACTCACCCTACTGAACATCAACATCAGTTCCTTAGCTATTAACTTTACAGAGGTATTACGCAAGGGAATGGCCTCAGGGTAGCGAGTTGCATAGTCCAAGATGACTAATATATATTGGTGTCCCCTAGCTGACTTTACCAGTGGCCCCACTAAGTCCATAGCGATCCTTTCAAAAGGTACATCAATTATGGGTAAGGGTACAAGTGGACTACAAAAAGTCTTGAAAGGAGCCCTGTACTGGCACTCAGGACATGAGGAGCAATAGTTTGTAATAGCAGCAAACACTCCAGGCCAGTAAAACCTTCTAAGGACTCGCTCTCTAGTTTTTTCGACTCCCAAGTGTCCCCCTAATTTGTGGCTGTGAGCCCACTTTAGCACTATATTTTGGTAAGTCTGAGGAACCAACAGCTGCTTAATGATGTCTGAATCCTTTTTTTTCTACACGGTAAATTAGGTAATTTTGTACTTCAAAATAGGGGAACGGCAGTGTTTCTCCTGGCTGATTAGCAACCCCATTTACAACTTTAATATTTCTAGCTGTCACTAAAGTGGGATCTTCCCACTGAGCACTTTTAAAATTACCTGGACTAATTCCAATATCAATTAAGTCCTTATCCTTGTCTGCAGTATTAGTAAGCTCGTCACTAGTATGAGCTGTGTTATCTCCTATTAATACTGGTTTAGGTCAGTATTTTTTTCTTTTTCTTATTTTTCCGTCACAGTGGTCAAAACCCAAGTCAATATCGGAAAAAGGGAACACATTATCCTCGGCAGATTGACTAATTTCTGATAAATTTTGGTCTCTCTTTTGTACAGCTGCCCATAAGTCTAGAAAATGAGGAAAGTCTCTACCGATCACTACCTCATGGGCTAATCTAGGTACTACACCCACTCTGTACTTTAAATCCCCATACTGGGTTCCAATATTTACTTCCGCAGTGGGGTATTCCTTATTATCACCATGAACACAGATAATGCCTATTTTCTGTACATGATCAGGTTTTACACAAGGTATTATAGACTCTGCTACCAATGTAACCATACTACCTGAATCAAGTAATGCTTTAGACATTTTTCCATTCACAGTTACACGGCATTTATGAGAGTTATTATCATCGTCATTGTAAACAGTACCATAACAGTTGAGCAAAAATGAACGTGCTCCCTCATCTTTGCCCATATTGCATTCCATAGGTTCATCCCTCAATGGACAGTCTTTGGCCATATGACCCTCCACTTTGCACTTGAAACATTTGACAGTATAATCTGACCACCAATTAGTTCCTCTCCCAGGCCTATTAGACCTGGATGCCTCCCTGGTGTTTTGTGCATAGAGCTGCAGCTCTTCAGCTCCCCTTAAACCTTGAACAGTCTTACCAGGTCTTGCAGAATCCTGTGGCTTAGGATTGCGGGGGTTTTCCTGTGAAGTAGGACGCAGCAGTTCTCCTGCAGCCACATATCTTTCCACCAAGGCAATCAGTTGGTCAGCTGTATGGGGGTCACTTTGGCTGACCCAGCAACGCAGGGCAGCTGGTAAACCACGCAAAAACCGGTCCATTACTAAGGTTTCCACAATGTGGCTAGCTGAATGGATTTCAGGTTGTAGCCATTTCCGTGCAAGGTGTATGAGGTCAAACATTTGGGAACGCGCGGCTTTGTCTGAAGAATATGACCATGAGTGGAACCTTTGGGCACGTACTGCAGAGGTTACACCCAGTCGTGCCAAGATTTCAGCTTTCAATTTGCTGTAGTTACTTGCATCGACTGGTTCTAGGTCATAATATGCCTTCTGCGGCTCTCCACTTAGGAACGGTGGAAGTATGCTTGCCCACTCACCAGCCGGCCATGCCTCCCTCTCAGCAGTGCGTTCAAATGCCAGAAGGTACGCCTCATCATCATCTGATGCAGTCATTTTCTGAAGGTAGTGGCTCGCTCGAATCACCTTTGGCCCCTGGTATCTTCCATCAGGGTCTCCATTCAGTTTTTCAGAGATAGCTTGGATTTCCTGTTGTAGTCCCTGGGTGACTTTTTTCTGCTCCTCACGGGTTACTTTAAACATCTCCGCTTGTGTCACAGCAATCTGTTTCACCTAGGACTCAGTGCACGCCATCTGTGTTTTGGCCAGGACTTTAGCACACTCTGCCTGGGCCAGCACCAGTTGCTGCAGGGCTCCACAGTTTTCTGCAGCTCTCCTGTTAGCCTCCTTCTGCACAGAGGTGAATTGGATTAGAGCCTTGATAACATCCTCCATGTTGAGCTTTAAATGACTTCCACCCTCAGGCTTACGTGGCTGCCCGCATTCTCCACCATATGTAACAAACCACCTCTTTTACAGGTAGGATTGTCACAGATCTTGAAGTAACCACACCCTTCTAGGGTATAGAAAGTCCAGGACACATTCAGCTCAGTTTTCCTTTTTATTTGCTAAAAAGCAGGTGCTTTAAATAATAACAAACAAACAAAATCCATTGCTCTTACTTGAGCTCTTACTAGACAGGAATTACTATCTGTAATTGGGTGGCTTTCCCACTTACCAATTTTCCAAAAAAAAACGAAAAATACCTTTGCAATAAACACAAGTGTTGTTCGCTCTCCTAGCTGGCTTTTTCTCCCTCACTCTGCAGCAGGCTGCTCTCTTCTTTTAAAGGCCTGTCTACTAATTGACTAGCTACAGGTGAGTGCCAGTTAGTAAACCCTTAAGTCAGATCCAAATTGTGGTGTGTTACACAGCAACTAGTGCTGTTGGAGCATTGGCCCACCCTGCTCTCCAAATACTCCGCCCCAGGGACCCATACCATGTTTTGTAGAGCATCAGCAATGTATATTGCAAACTTTAAAATCTCTCCCTGGGGCATTTAACGGAAAATTCTCTGGTTGCTGTTTAGCAAATCAGGCGTGATGTATCTTCCATCAACCACTATTCCACTTTTACGCTCACAATATATATACATATGTGTGTATTACTGTCAGGATCACATAATTTTACGTCTTTCTGTACATTGTGTTAGCAAGTTTGCTAGCAAAATTCATATATTGGAAGGAAAATCTATTTAATTATTATTATTTTATTAAAAACAGGGGGGTAGGTGCAGCGCTTCAGTAATCCTTGACAAGGTATATGTGGAGAGAACCAGAGAAGGAATAATAGTGTAGTATTTAAAACTGTAGTGGTGATAAGTAAAATCAAAGATGTGCACTCACACTTTCCTGGAGCTTCAATACAGCTCCAGTGTATGCGCCTGGGCGGAATAATCCCCACCTATGGATCAAGTGCAGAGGCAATTCTTCAAGTTATAGGTGTGTGGTAGGGGGTATCCTCATAAAAAAACATCAAATAAAAATCGTATATGGTGAAGTATGTAGAGCTATGAAGCAAGGGTAGGTAAAAACTATAAAATGTGCACTCACGTGTAATGGAGCCGTAAAACCTGGCTCCTCCGATAGCGCTTGAAGTGGTATGATCCCCACTCAAGGATACAGGTTGTGTTTTGTGTGATTATTATTTAACAAGAGGTCTTTCTCTCACCGGTCAATTAGCTCTTTGGCATAAGCTTCCATGCTGAAGAACTGAGTTACAGGGAGAGCAGGAGACAGGCGAAAATGCATTCCCCCCCCAAACACACAAAAAATGCATATTCTATTGCCCCTCTGTCTCTTTGTCCCCCCTTCCCCTGTGTCTCTCTATTACCCCTATATCTCTTTGTCCCACTTCCCCAGTGTCTCTCTATTTCCCCTCTCTCTTTGTCCCCCTTCCCCTGTGTCTCTCTATTACCCCCATGTCTCTTTGTCCCCCCTACCCCTGTTTCTGATACTAACCTTGTCACAGGAGGACTGAGAGAGGGGCAGAGTTAACTACCATGCTCCCTCGCGGTTCCCATAATTCCCAGCATGGACACATAATAGAGTAATCACTACTCTATGATGTGGCTGTGCTGGGAATTGTGGGAACCGCGAGCATGGTAGTTAGCTCTGCCCCCTCCCTCAGTCCTCCTCTGCTGACAGCTGTACTGCTGCCAGGATCAGTGAGTGTGCCGCCGGACTGGTTAGGGGGCCGTCTGGCACGCTCACTGATACTGACAGCAGTCATACACCACACATGAGATGGGGCTGCCGGTCGCAAGGTAACACCCTCAGAGTGTGCCACTCTGGGGAGAATGGTAGAGTCAGGGGTAATTGGAGCTGATAGAGAACTTGTTTGATGTCCTGAGTCCATCCTATCCAGTTTGTCATTAATCCGACCTAAAGAGGATAGAACTGATGACAAAACAGCCTGTAGGTCGGACGACTGGCCACTACTAGATCCCTCTCCTGCCCCGTCATTGTCGGTCTGGGTATTTAATAGTTTGTACAATTCCCCTTTCCTGGCTGTAGCCGGATAGGGGATGTTTCTCTTGCGTCGCTCTGCAGTGATCCTTGGGATGGTCCAGAATCTGAGGGATAACGGACTTGCGGTGTCACCCACTTGGGACGGGGTCACGGATCTGGCTGGCGTACTGGGGATCGATAGTTCTTCCCCGCCCTCAGGTAGTTCTGACATACTATAATAAAAATTGGGAGGTTATGCCAGGCTTCTCTTACACTGGCTGGCTAGCTAATGCCAAGCAGCGAAAAATTACCTAAGAAGAAATGACAGATGACACCCTGCTAATAGCCAAGCGGCTTGAGAGGCTCTATGAGTTGGCACTATTGTCATTGCGGCCACGGAACGTTGTGGTGGGGTGACAGCCTCTCAGTGACTTGAAGAGCATAAGATAGACTGGGTGAGACAAGTGAGGCCCTCTCTATGCCACTAAGTGAGGCAACTGACTATGATTTGGCCCGATGGGTAAACGTACCTCCCAGTGAGGATGGGTGATGGCCTCGCGGGACCACTACGCTAAGGCTTAGAAATAAATGTAACTAGTGGCCTCCTATTCTTAATCAGCCAGTATGAACCTATCTACAGAAAAACCAGCAAGGAATCGGAGGGTAAGATCAGAAATGGGGACTGACATACCTGATGAACTTATAGAAGGGAGTGAGTTCTGTTGAAGCATACCTCTGTAATACCTATGAGAGTAATAATAGGCTTGTAGTGTTCATATTGTATTGTACCCTATACATATTATTACTATAAAGATACCTACCGGTTTATCACTTGAGCAAAAGTTTAACCGGCACTAAACGTGGAAGACTTGAATGGCGTAGTACTTGACGAAAGACTTAAATGGCCTAGTACCTAGTAATGTAGAAACTATAACATAAGTACTGGAAGACTAATGAGACTGTATGTGGGCCAGAATAACAGTAACCACTAACCTATGGGAAATGGTGAATTGCGTAGATAAGAGTGATGTTGCTAAAATGCTAAGCGCTTTGTGGGACTGAAACATAAAATGCATCTACAAGATTGATTGCATACTTGTAACACCAACCTAACCACCCCCCAGAGAGTAAATAAAGTATGGTAGGGAGATAACCGTATCTATAGTATGAACAAAAGAGACCTGGATCATCTTGAGAAGTACAATAGAAATACCTAGAAAAGGAAACGTAATTGCCGGTTTATTCATGAGTCCTAAGCACAAGTAATCAGTACTGTGTTGTATGACTTTAACCAATTTAACATAGTGACAAAACGTAATTATCTGTGCATTTTCAAAATTAACCACCAGAGGTCGACACTGCCTAAACGCTATAGAGAAACAACCATTCGTATGACTGGCTGTTCGGTTAAAACATATACGAACGGCCCTATTGATGGCTAATAAGGTTAAGAATATCACCAAATGTTTTAAACCACAAAACCAATGCGAAATGCAGTGCAGGAATTACCGTACAATCGTTATTAATTTGTATGTCGAACCTGAGCGTTCGTGCACATGCTCCCGGCAGTATGTAACCTGATCGTTCGTATGTCCACGAAAGACCCGACATCAAACCGAACATTGAAGCACGAAATGGAAGGAAGTATAGGGCCATTCCAGGATGATGCTGTATGCCTGCGACTACTGACTTATGGTTACGACATGGGTCGCGACGCGATTGCCGCGGAACGGAAGTTCTGGGACTGGAGTAGGGGCGGATATCCCGGTATCGAGGCCGATCCTGGATGAGGCTCTGGTGGGTCATGAAGCAAAGAGACGGATGACCAGGGGCTGCAGACCAGGTACACGGTCCCACAAGGTGAAAGGTAAGTAAATGGCGGTTTGCACGGACCAGAAGTGACGGTACACAAATCGCCAGACCCGAGGCGGTAGTGAGGAGGGGACTGGTACTCCTTAAGAAGGGAAACCAGGCCTCTCCCACAACTTCAGGCCCAGCCATCTATATATATATATATATATATATATATATATATATATATATATATATATATATATATATAATATACACTAGTAGTGGGGTGTAGTAACTTCTCATTGAAAAGTTTAGCTGGTAAAAATTAAAGCATTTACATATATATTACACAGCCCACGCTCACCACACACATATGACACACAGCCAGCAAACACCATACACATATACACAAGGAAAGGGGGAGACTATGGGAGAGGAGGAGAAACTCCAGGAAATTCACAAAACTCTTGAGTTTTTGCTAAATAAATACAAATTGCAAAAATAGTCATATTGTGACTGTAGTGAAGTTAAATAATTTTTTTAGATCAGTTATTTTTGCCTGTATTTTTCCAATTATATTTAATTTATGAAAATTCTGAGTTTAGTAAATAGTCTTGTCAAAGTCCAAGGCTCTTGATAGGGGCCTCAATGTTTGAATTAAATTATTATTTTTTTTGTGTCAGGGCAAATAGATCGTCATGATGGATAAGTACATATTTTAAAAACAATCTGCATCCTTAATTTCCCATTAGGCAGAGTAGGCATCTGCCTACAGTAAATACCTGATGGGGCGGCTACTCCTACCTGCTGCATCAGGACTCTTGGATAGTCGGAGCCTGATGTGTGTATGACCTCACTCCTTCAGATTAAAAATTGGATCTCCTAGAGCAGTGGTTCCCAATCAATCCAGTCCCCACAGGGGTATGCAAAAAAAAAATCTGTAATGGTAGAACTGACTTCTGAATCTATTTGTAAACGGCCGCTGTCAGCCAATGAGGAGAGCCATATCCTCATGTCACCCCCTCTCCACCCACAAGTTATTGAAAAGTGGTTCACCTCCACGTCATACCTCTGCAGCTGCCAGCCAATAAGACAAAAAACAAAACAAAAAATCTATTATTTTTATGCATGAAGCATTTCTTGTATAAACTAAAGAAAATGGAAAGAGAGAAATCAGCGCTAGGTTGCCACACAAGAAAATAACAACAATAAGGCTGCAATCCTCAAAGGGGAGTCCCCTATAATCCCCTAATGGTAAGAAGAAATACATGTACTTACCTCATATGATTTATATGTATAATAATTTATGTTTTATTCAGTATTTTTATTTGCATCTTAATATTATGTTATTGATGACGTCATTTTGGCCGGATTTTCAAAATTCCAAACATTACTGTATCTTATATAAACCATTGCATGTCAGGTGTGTTCCCCTTTTTTACTATTATCTACTTGAAGAAGCCCTTGAGGCGAAACGCGTTTAGATACTATTTTAATTACTTTATAATAAAGAAATTATTTTGGCATAAAATATTTTATAGCCATTTTCTTTCTTTTTCACCTGACTATACATATACTGCATATCTGACTAGAAGCCTAAAGAATCCTTAGGTGGGGATCATACCACCCAAGCGCTTACAATGAGCAGTACAAGTCTGCTCTATATATTGTGAGTAGTATATTTTATACTTTTTTACACCTTTTATTACTATACAGAGATCACTATATATTTTATTTCTCTTTCCTGGGTCGAATAATACCAACTCGGACGTCGAATCTGAGCCAGATACTCGTCAATCAAATATTACTCCGCATATCCTTGAGTGGGGATTATTCCACTTCACGTGCGTTATATCAGAGCTAGGTTTTAGCTCTGAAAAGTGTGAGTAAGACTATTTTTATTCTACATACTATTTTATTCATCTATATACTGTGCCATCGGAGTTCCTTTTTGTCTTTTCTCCACATATGTTCTACTGGATCTCAAGCACACTACTGTGAAGACACACTATTTTACATAGAAACATAGAAACATAGAAACATAGAATGTGACGGCAGATAAGAACCATTCGGCCCATCTAGTCTGCCCAATTTTCTAAATACTTTCATTAGTCCCTAGCCTTATCTTATAGTTAGGATAGCCTTATGCCTATCCCACGCATGCTTAAACTCCTTTACTGTGTTAACCTCTACCACTTCAGCTGGAAGGCTATTCCATGCATCCACTACCCTCTCAGTAAAGTAATACTTCCTGATATTATTTTTAAACCTTTGTCCCTCTAATTTAAGACTATGTCCTCTTGTTGTGGTAGTTTTTCTTCTTTTAAATATAGTCTCCTCCTTTACTGTGTTGATTCCCTTTATATATTTAAATGTTTCTATCATATCCCCCCTGTCTCGTCTTTCCTCCAAGCTATACATGTTAAGATCCTTTAACCTTTCCTGGTAAGTTTTATCCCGCAATCCATGAACCAGTTTAGTAGCCCTTCTCTGAACCCTCTCTAAGGTATCAATATCCTTCTGAAGATACGGTCTCCAGTACTGTGTACAATACTCCAAGTGAGGTCTCACCAGTGTTCTGTACAATGGCATGAGCACTTCCCTCTTTCTACTGCTAATACCTCTCCCTATACAACCAAGCATTCTGCTAGCATTTCCTGCTGCTCTATTACATTGTCTGCCTACCTTTAAGTCATCAGAAATAATCACCCCTAAATCCCTTTCCTCATATGTTGAGGTTAGGACTCTATCAAATATTCTGTACTCTGCCCTTGGGTTTTTACGTCCAAGATGCATTATCTTGCACTTATCCACATTAAATGTCAGTTGCCACAATTCTGACCATTTTCTAGTTTACCTAAATCATTTGTCATTTGGCTTATCCCTCCTGGAACATCAACCCTGTTACATATCTTAGTATCATCAGCAAAAAGACATACCTTACCATCAAGACCTTCTGCAATATCACTAATAAAAATATTAAAGAGAATGGGTCCAAGTACAGATCCCTGAGGTACCCCACTGGTGACAAGTCCAAGCTTTGAATATATTCCATTAACTACAACCCTCTGTTGCCTGTCACTCAGCCACTGTCTTACCCATTCAACAATATTGGAATCCAAACTTAAAGATTGCAGTTTATTGATAAGTCTTCTATGTGCAACAGTGTCAAAAGCCTTACTGAAATCTAGGTAAACAATGTCTACTGCACCACCCTGATCTATAATTTTAGTTACCCAATCAAAAAAATCAATAAGATTAGTTTGGCATGATCTCCCTGAAGTAAACCCATGTTGTCTCTGATCTTGAAATCCATGTGTTTTTAGATGTTCATCAATCCTATCCTTTAACATGGTTTCCATCACTTTCCCCACTACTGAAGTAAGGCTTACTGGCCTATAGTTGCCCGACTCCTCCCTATTACCTTTCTTGTAAATGGGCACAACATTCGCTAACTTCCAATCTTCTGGGACTACTCCTGTTAACAATGATTGGTTAAATAAATCTGTTAATGGTTTTGCTAGTACACCACTAAGCTCTTTTAATAGCTTTGGGTGTATTCCATCAGGTCCCATTGACTTATTTGTCTTTACTTTTGACAGTTGAAATAGAACCTCTTCCTCTGTAAACTCACGTGTAATAACTCTTACGTCTCAGAATCCCTGTTCTTACACGTGGCATCTACCATTACAGACTTATGATAAGTGTTTTGGACTATTGCCAGCTACTTATTTAACAATTCATTTAATATTTTATATTAAATTTTACACTACTTATTATATACAATTTTTATATGTTTTATTGTATGTTTTAGGCGCAACCTTATTTTTGTTCTGTCTTGTATAAACTAGTCTGTGATTTTTATCTTTTTGCAGCAATTTAGTATATGGCTCCTTATTTGTGGGATAATACATTTGTGTTATGTACTATTATTATAGGGCTCGGCTCATGAAACAGATATATGGCAATCCCTCATAAACTGAATTATGTTGCCATCTACTAAATTGTTGAAGGCATTTCAATCACTCCTGTGAGCTGTGTATAATAAGCGAGTTCTTCTGGGTCTTCTGTATGACTCCTCATTGTCATCATTTTAAGTTTTAAATTAATTTTCCCATTTGTGTATTGTCAGATATGGATCAGTGGCTGAAAACCAGCATAGTAAGAAAACTGACACATAATGTGGATATTGATCAATAACCAAGAATTTCCGAGGACCCATCTAACACTCTAGTGCAAAACAAAGAGAAGACAGTCTTCAAACTGGTAAAAAGAGAAAATACTGGATGAATATATGAAGTATGGATTTTCATATATATGAGACAAGGACAGTCCTAAACCCTGGTGTGTAGTGTTTTGGTAAGTATTATCCAATGGTAGCATGAAATCTTCTTTATTCTTGCGGCATTTACAAACAAAGCATGCCAGCTATACAAACATGGAATCCAGTTTTCTTCAGCGGCTAGCAAAAGAAGCTGTAAAGTAGTTAATTTTATAAAGTCACGATCTTTTAAAGCACTGTGTGCGTAGGTGAGGAGTCTCCATTCTACCCTGCTTCTTCATACAGAAGTAAGGTGACTATCTCAGGGAAAAGTCCTTACCCGGCTGTTCGAACTTGAGAAAAGACCATCCTTTCAAACTTGCTTTAAAGTTGCACGACTGTGATTGGCTTCAGGCTCTTGCATGATTATCGGATATTTTTATGCAAATAAACAATCTACATTTGGCACTTCAGAATAGTTCAACATTGATCTTCAAAGTTTTCAGAAAAAATGTTATCTATGATTAAAAATAAAAACAGTCATGTATTGAAAAAGACCAACCTGAGGTATTTGAAAATTTACTAAATTTTCCATCTGATAACAAAATCACAATAATCCAATAACCAGATGTGTTTTCTGAAAATCACCTGAATGCACTCCCACATCCAGCATCAATTAAATCCCCACAGGAAAGCATTGAAGTTATGCTTTCCTATGGGGGGGTGAGGCCTAATGCATTCATCATGCATGCGCATTAACCCCCGTCAAATGACGTCAGAGGAGGCAGAGTGCCGACCCAGCACCAAGGGAGATCGGAATGGAATCGGATAAGCACACAAAGGTTTTTTGTTTTTTTTCTTAACAATATCCATGCTGGGGGTGGGCGGTGAGGGGGGAAGGGTGCTAGAGGGAACTATAGTGTAAGGAATACCTTGTAGTCCTCTTAAAACATTTTGCAAGTCCAAATAGTTACAAATGTCAATAACTAGTGTTACATACTCATTTATACTCACCTATATTGCTTAATAGTATATTTGATTGCTTAGTACCTACTGTGTTTCTCCGAAAATAAGACCGGGTCTTATATTAATTTTAGTCACAAAAAACACACTAGGGCTTATTTTCAGGGTAGGGCTTATTTATTTACGTTACCAGTATGTACAGCTCTTTCTCTTTGCACTCATCTTGTCTGGGGATCAAAATACCATACTGTCTAATTAATCCACCCCACCTTTAATAAATCCACCCCCTCTAATTAATCCACCCCCCCTTTAATTAATCCATCCCCTCTAATTAATTCACCCCCCTCTAATTAATCCAGCCCACCCTTTAATTAATTCACCACCCCTTTAATTAATTCACCCCCCTCTAATTAATCCAGCCCACCCTTTAATTAATTCACCCCCTCTAATTAATCACCCCCCCTTTAATTAATTCACCACCCCTTTAATTAATTCACCCCCTCTAATTAATCCAGCCCACCCTTTAATTAATTCACCACCCCTTTAATTAATTCACCCCCTCTAATTAATCCAGCCCACCCTCTTAATTAATTTAATTAATTCACCACCCCTTTAATTAATTCACCCCCTCTAATTAATCCAGCCCACCCTTTAATTAATTCACCACCCCTCTAATTAATCCAGCCCACCCTTTAATTAATTCACCCCCCTCTAATTAATCCAGCCCACCCTTTAATTAATTCACCCACCCCTTTAATTAATTCAATTAATCCCAGACATAAAATATCTACCGGTACTCACATTTCAAAGATTCCTTGCCGAGTCCGACCACTGGGTGCCTCACCGCCCGGAAATGGATCCTTCCGCTGAAGATCCGTGAAGGCAGACTGACGGCGCTGCGAAATGTCGTCATCACGTTGCGCGATGCCGCGGCCCGCAACGCTCCTCCTACAGTAGAAGAAGGAAGTCTCGCCGCAAAGGTGCAATGCCTAGGTCTTATTTTCGGGGTAGGGCTTATATTGCAGCCCACCCCGAAAATCCGACTAGGGCTTATTTTCAGGGTAGGGTTTATTTTCGGGGAAACACGGTACCAAGGCAAAACTTACTCCTACACATACAATTCACCTAGCTGCTTTCAGCACCTATTTGAGAACAAGCTACAGCTCTCCCTGGAAATTATCGTGAAAATAACACTTGACAGGGCTAAAATCATCTTTCCAAAAGTATTTCTTCAAATCCAGAGCAGAAAATAATTGGATTGCAAATCCCTTTGAATTGATCCGCATCGGATCAATTTAATTGTAACGGATCACCTGTACCCAGAGTGGTACCTCCGTCGTAGTCTCTCCAAGATCCCGAGAGGCATTGGTGAATTGTAGCTCTCATATACCCAAGCCGGGACTTGATGATGGGTACAATAACTTGTTTTATTAGTGAAAAATACAGACATTTACACACCTACCCTACCCATGGGGTCTCTATTCAAAACATCCTAAGCATGCCCAGGCACCTCTGTGTCTGGGAGATAATGGAGTCAGTCCTCAGTAAACCAATTATCTATCGGATACATTACTAAATAACCCCATAACATACATTAAACATCAACATACCCCCACATATCATACATCTCCTGAAAGGTCTGATCCGAGAGCCCATTCTGTGAAAAATAGCACTCAGATCCATGGGGTATTGTCCAAACGCCATTGCCTCAAAGTTTTAGCCGACTGTTGTAACAAGATTGACCAAAAAAGGGTACCATGTGGTCAGGGCCATTCCTCTGTGAACTACTGGGGCCTATATCTTTTTGTGGCAGGGGAGCTCCCTGGTAGTTATATGGATCGATTGTTAGTCTTCTTAGTCACTTCTCATTTAAAAAAGCGTCTTCCTGGGTAGTTGGGAAGGCAAGGAAAATTAAGGTACAGAGGACCGGGACAACAGGCTAAGCGCGGCCAAGCCGGAGTTCCAGGGCAAAAATAGGTTAGCACCTGGACACTATGACTCCCCTCGAATGTCTCCTGGGTAGAGAACAAGGGGCACTGGGTAAGAAAAACCATACTGGAACGAGAGATAACCAGGGGGAAGCCTAGCAGATCAGTCTTTTTGGTGAGTTCTTTACAGGAATCAATTTCTAACTAGTCATGGTGTAAAATACAATGTGTACTATCGCCACCTAGTGATACATTTTAAAATTTACAGTCACCTGTACACTATATAGACCTACAAATCACTTTCTCTGTTTACCAGAGTTAAGAGTTTAGATTTCCTTTCAATCTTTTGGTATTGGAAATACAGACAGAAATAAGGCCCAGTGTTATAAATACAGGAAATTCACATGAAATATTTCCAATTTTTGTTATATAATCATAAAATCTGCAGAAAATGGCAAAAACATAAACAACTTAAACATATAGACTACAAAAGTAGCAGAATATGCACAGTAAAATGTTACCACGTGACAGGAGACTTCATAGTTTGCATATCCTTTACCGAACTCCATAGCACTAAAGAATACTACATAGAAACAAAGGAACCAATTGCAAAGAGCCAGTATTTATATAAGGCGACGTAGAATTAAGCATCTCATATTTATTTGCTGCTGCATTGTGTGCTATTCCAATAGCCCTACCCTTTCCAGGGGCTCTGTGCTATATGTTTTCTATAGTGATTGTCACCCCATTCCCTCTCGGTTTTGGAACCCTTAGATCACTATTTTTTGTGGCATTTCTGGGGATGTCGCAAATTGTAATGTCAGTTTACAGCTATTTTACCCTGTGTGCTCTCTAGTGCTGTTTTCTATTGGTACTTGGGAGCTCTCTGGCCGCACTGTACTTCAAACAGTCGGTGGCGGTATTGTCTTGTCTCCTGTGCGATTGTTCCATTTTTCCAATGGCCATGTTGGATCTTGCGTATTGTTTTTTGGAATGGGTTATCACGACAATGAGTTGTTGTGGTTATGTTGCATGCATTGCCACATTAAGATTATCTTTATATATTTTATAGAACCTGGCCCTCTAACTGTTAGTCTTCTCTCACTGCTAACAGAGAGGGAAGATGGAGTATTGATAAGCAAGTGTTTACAAACTCAATGTTGTTTTTGCTCATTGATTTGTTATATCTGGACTGTTTCACTGGTGATCACATTTCCTAGCTGTCATTTGCAGCATGTGACTGGCTACTGCAGGTATTTAGATTCCTGAGAACCTATTCTAGAGCTATAATAGTTAAATAAGAGATGGGCATAAAAAACAGTAACCCATATGTAAGAATTAGGGTCCTTATATACATAAAACTTTCACATGTATAGTTTTAGACAGTTTCTTTCTCAAGTGATTCGTAATGACCACTGATTACAGGGAAGTTCCAAGTACCATAATCAATACAACCTTCTGTCGTGACTATGGTGCCAGGAGTGCCCTTGTGCACTGCCAGAGTAAGTAGTCAAACCACAACTTACTTGGTCCCCTAGGGGGCACACACCTTCATACTGCTTCCAGACACTCCAAAACAGTAATTCCAGTAAGCTCCACTAAGCTAGGTAGGGCTGAGAGCTTCAGCATTCTCAGCCAATATGCGTGGCCCTGTATTGAGCCATCTTTCAAGAGATGTTGGATGCACTGAAGGCATGCACGTAAGTCAAACCATTCTTAAATTATTTGACTGCTTACTCAGGAATGGTATCAGGGCACTCCTGGCACCATAACCACTATAGGGTGCCTAGAGTGTTCCTTTAAGAACAGGAAACATTCACTGTTAGTTTATATATTTTCTATTAAAAATACGTTTTACATACTTTTTAAGATTCCCTTGATGGACTATTGATGAACAGACACTATAAAGCACCAAAACAACTTTAGCTTAATAAAAGAGTTTGGTTTTGGTGTATAGATCATGCCACTTCCATCTCACTACTCAATTTTCTGCCATTTAGGAAATAAATCACTTTGTTTATACAGCCCCAGCCACACCTACCTGCATGTGACTTGAACAGCCTTCCGAAACACTTCCTGTAAAGAGAGATCTAATGTTTAAACTTCATTTATTGCACATTATGTTTACTTTAGAATTGATCTCATTTAATAGCCTTCTAGACCCTGCAGGAGCCTCCTGTGTGTGATTGTAGTTTAAATTTACAAAGCAGAAGATAAAAACTTCTAAAGCAAGTAAACATTTAAAAGAAAATAAAACCTGTATTTTTAATGCAGGCTGCACGAGTCACAGGCAGGGGAGGTGTGGGTAGGGCTGCATAAACAGAAATAAAAATTATTTAACTCCTAAATGGCTACAAATTGAGTAGCAAGACTGCAGAGGAATTAACTATACGCCAAAAATACTTAATCTAAAGTTGTTTTGATACCTATAGTGTCCCTTTAAGTAGGTCTGCCTGCATCTAAAGCAGGGATTGAAACATTTCCAGAGAATCTGGTAGCAATATATTTGCCATATTTTTTTTTTCCATTAATTGTTTTAACTTTTGTGACATTTTGCACGAAAGATATACATTTTGAAAAAAAATAAATGTGTAAAATTGTACAGGTGTTTGGGAAAGTGTATGCTTTTAGTGTCACATGAATGTGTGCTTGTGAAAGCATGTGTATACGTGTAAGTTAAGATAATCAGTATTATGAGACTCCTAGCTGAATGGGCCACATATAACCCCTTTGCGATGCTAGACGGAAATTTTCCGTAATGACAGTCCTACTCTTTAGGACACATGACGGAAAACTTTGATTGTGGTAATCATGGGGTTAATGGGGTTAATTTGATAACTATTTGCAGTGATCAAAATACAGATAACAGTACGTTATTGTGATCTGTTTTTTTTTTTTTTTACCCATGAGGGATAACTTATTTTTAACCCTCAGGGGTTACATTTAATTAGTTATTTAACCCCTTAACGACCGCTGACGGTACAGGACCGTCATTGGCAAAATCCCCTTGAGGACCGATGACTGTCCTGAACCGTCATAAAGGTAATATTTACTTACCCGATCACCGTCATTCCCAGGCAGTCCCCCATCTGCGAATTAGGACCCCGCGGCCATGTGATCGCTCTAAAAGAACAGCCACGTGACCGCAATAGGTGCCTGTGTATCTGCCTGCAGGAGGACTGGCTGAACTGACAGGTAGTCTCCCGGCATGTGTAAAATAAAAAAAAAATGTTAATAGATAAAAATATAATTAGATATGAGTATATATCATATATATAATGTCATACTAAGTGTATTTGTATATTAATATATATATATATATATATATATATATATACACACACATATATTAATACAAAAATACACCTATAATTAAATTACACACGTGTGTGTATATTATATATACATTACACAAGATCCAGCGCACTCACCTATCCACTAAACAGCAACTTCAATGTTGAAAGATTGTATTTGTTTTTTTAAAAACACCTAATCTAGGCAAAAATAATGGGGGTTTAGTTACATTATATGACCATACATTGCATAAGCCTGCCACAATGTCAATGTACCCCATCTTTGGCAGGTCCTACACTAACAGCCTAATGTCTGCTCTTATGAGATTAACCCACTTACTTGGGGAAATAAATTCCATCTGGGCCTCTCTGCAGTACGAGGCTAAATAGGGCCCTGAGATGAGGCACCTGTGATGACTATTAAACTTTTAAGACAAACATGCCAACTTCTAAAATTGTTTCACATTGAAATTTTATTTTAGTCCTTGTATTTTGTGACCTGTAACTTTCAAAATAAGCTGAAATCCTATATATATTATGTTCTCTATAAATTAAGATACATAAATGAATTTATTTATGTATCTTAATTTACCTGGTTAATGGCTCCAGTGGACTCCTGACACTATAGTGCACTTTGCCTTAAAGGACCACTATAGTGCCAGGAAAACATACTCGTTTTCCTGGCACTATAGTGCCCTGAGGGTGCCCCCACCCTCAGGGACCCCTCCCGCCCGGCTCTGGAAGGGGGAAAGGGGTAAAAACTTACCTTTTTCCAGCGCTGGGCGGAGAGCTCTCCTCCTCCTCTCCGCCTCCGATCCACCCCGCCGGCTGAATGCGCACGCGCGGCAAGAGCTGCGCGCGCATTCAACCCGTCGCATAGGAAAGCATTTACAATGCTTTCCTATGGACGCTTGCGTGCTCTCACTGTGAAAATCACAGTGAGAAGCACGCAAGCGCCTCTAGTGGCTGTCAATGAGACAGCCACTAGAGGATTAGGGGGAAGGCTTAACCCATTCATAATTATAGCAGTTTCTCTGAAACTGCTATAATTATGAAAGAATGGGTTAACCCTAGCTGGACCTGGCACCCAGACCACTTCATTAAGCTGAAGTGGTCTGGGTGCCTAGAGTGGTCCTTTAAGGCGACCTAAGAAGCCATCTTAGAGAGTCCCAGCTCCCGTATCTAAGGACCCCACTGGTGTATTTGCTCAGGTGCAGGGCTGATCCTGGGCGGCTGCACCACTCCCAGGAGGTGGGGGGCACTGTGCAAAGTAGGCAGATGGCTTGTCACAGGCAGCTGACCATTTGGCCACCTAAGGGCGCCCCAGGAGCAGCTCTTATTTAGCAATGCAGAGTAGGCACCTGCTTATCCCAGAGGGCAGGTATCCATTCTGCAGCAATATACTGAGGACGGAGTCAGGCAGCAAAGGAGTGCTTTCTGTGGTTATGATCTTCCTGCTCCCTCGCATGCCATTTGTGGTGATGCCTGAAGCCGGAATATTACCTAAATCAGGCCCCGCATCACTACACAGCGCGAGGGAGGAGAAAGGAGCAGGAGGAGCATCAAAGCCACTGGACCCCAGGGAGAGGACCCAGAGGAATCCTAAAGGTAGTAAGTCTGTATGTCTCTGTCAGTAAGTCTATATGTGTGTGTGTGTGTCTGTCAGTGAGTGTTTCAAATCAGTGAGATTGTGTGTCAAGGTGTCTGTCTGAGTACGTTTCTGTCAGTGTGTATGTCTCTCAGTGCGAGTGTGTCTAGAACAGTGATGGCGAACCTATGGCACGCGTGCCACAGGTGGCACGCCGGGCCCTTTCTGTGGGCACGCGGCCACAGGTTCGCCATCAATGCAGAGAAGGCGCCTGCCTGCCCAAAACGGCAGGCGCCTACTCTGCTTCCGTGTCGGGAGGCAGGGGGAGGGCTCTAGGAGGCAGCTCCCCTGTCCTCCCGCGCGATGCTGTGTGGAGCGTTGCCGCGCGTTACCATGGCAACGCTCCACACAGCATTGCGCGAGGAGGACAGGGGAGCTGCTTCCTGGAGCCCTCCCCCTGCAGTGCTTACCACCACCGGACCACCAGGGATCGCTGTGTCCCCCCCCCCACTTCATTAAAGGTAAGAAGGAGGGAGGGGGGGTATACTGACACAGCACCCTTACCCCCCCAGAAGTAGCCCTACCCCCAGCACCCCTACCCTCCCCAGCAGCACCCCTACCCCCCCCAGCAGTACCCCTACCCCCCCAGCAGTACCCCCCCAGCAGTACCCCTACCCCCAGCAGTAACCCCTACCCCCAGCAGTACCCCTACCCCCCCAGCAGTAACCCCTACCCCCCAGTCTGTCTGTATGTGTATTCATCAGTCTCTGTATTCAGCAGTCTTGTGTGTGTGTATTCAGCAGACTGTGTGTATGTATTCAGCAGTCTGTGTGTGTATGTATTGCATTTGTTGGAGATACTAATAAATATAAGCTTAATTTTATCTATTTATATCATTATTTAAAATTTGTATCATTGAACTCTCTGTGTTCTTTTAAAACAAAAGTTATTAGTTCGGACAACAGTACGAGTTGTTTTTTTCTAAACTTAAACCTCAGTATTTGGGTTTAATTGCCGTGTTGGCACTTTAAGGAGAAAAAATGTTGGCATGTATTGCGGTTTGGGCACTCGGGCTCAAAAAGGTTTGCCATCACTGGTCTAGAATCTAGATGGAGGTGGAGGCGTTGCAAAGGGGAGGAGTTAAGATGCCACACCCAAAAGCTTTCTGCACCCAGACATCTGTGACCCTAGGATCGGCCCTGCTCAGGCGGTTCACCCAAGCTGTCAGGAGGGAAGGGGACAGAGAACCCATCCACCAGTCACTCTTGTATTGTGTCTTGGTGCTTTATCCTCTAGCTGGTATGATATAGGACTGCTCACATCTTACAGAGCATGAAGGGGGCAAGAAATTGAGCAGCTCCCTATGAGAGAGGGTAGAGTATAATGCAGTTTCTCTACCATGACCTGCAAGGCCATACTGCTGACAGGCTGTAATGAAGGGAGGAGAAAGAGATACCAGAGGGGCAAAGGGGTGATAAGAAACAAAAGGCACTAAAGGTGGGTAATACATATTTAAAAAGGGTTAAGTGACACCAGATGTAAGAGCCGCGGAAGTGCTAATAAGAGCAAGAAAAGGGGGGACACAAACTTAAAAGGGGGGAAAAAAGAGAGAAAATGGGGTAAGGTACACAAAAGGAGCACAGGTATGGTTAAGAATGGAAAAAGGGGGGTTTAAGAGACTACATATGTCTACACAGATAAAGATGCATTTTACAGTCCTTCAAAAATGCTTCTTTGCTTGCAAAAGTCCTTGCACCTGCTCCTTTTATAAAACCTTTTTAAAGTCTTCTGCACAGGATCGCACTGACAAGGTAAAGGGCCCAGTGGACATGGGCCATGGCCAACAAAGAAGATCAGAAGATTTCCCCAGCTTACCCTGCAGTGCCCACGCTACTTCAGTGTTGATTCAGAGAGACTGCATTACAAATGATGGGAGATGACATAATGCCAGAGGGATGAGAGAGAACTTTCTTTCAGGTACACACCAATTTATCTGGGGGGGTGAACGAACTATAGCACACATCTCACCACACACTACAGTCTTCATCTCCCCACATGCTCCAAGACACTGCACAGTCCCTATACACAAGCAGTACACCTCAGCCCCACTCTAAACACAACCCCTCAAGCACTTCTCTACACACAAGCAACCCCACCAGCAGATTTAGAACAAATGTGTCATTAAATTCCCTTGCACTGACCTTAACAGAGGGCATTTCCTTGTACCAAACCAACATACACTTTAAGGCTACTGACATACTGACACTTTAAGGCTATTCCAAGCACCATAACCACTACAGCCCTTTATAGTAGAAACATGCATTGAATGTATAGCCAGCCTGGAACTCTCATTCCGAGCTAACTAATGACGCTGCTGTTGGAGATTTTGTGCAGCGTTTCAAACAGACCCCAGGAACCATGATCACTTCAAATTCCTTAAGTGGTCATCATGATGCTTGGAGTTACCCCTTTAAGAGTCGCGCACGTGTATCCAGATGTTGAGCACGAGTGGGGGCCCTTTTAGTACCCTGGTTATATAGAATATCTGTCTGTATCCATCAAGCCAACAAGTTTCACACGTTCCAATAAAGCATGGCCAAACACTTCGATATTCTGTCAAAGAACTGAACGTTCCACCCAACGCACAGCGTCCCGCCCCTCTACCCATTCTGGAACTACGCTTTCTGCGTAAGCCCGCCCCCTCTTGCGTGCGACCCTTGGCGGGCGGTGTTGGCGCTCTGTGCTGCTGCTGTTTCTTCTGCTGCCGCTTTCTGTCAAATCCCGTGGTTCCGGTGTGAAAGCCGTGTTCCTTTCACCTTCCCGGTGCAATGGCGCAGAGTACCCCGCCTGTTTTTCCAGCTGTTCAGGCCGGGCTAAGGGAGGCCTTGTTGGAGACCCTGAGTGGCATCCTTTCTCCTGGACATGAGGTGCGAGCGGCAGCGGAGGAACAGCTCAAAGTGTTAGAAGTGACTGAGGGTGAGTGACAGGGGGGCGGACGTGGCTGCCAGATAAAGAACTTTTTTTGTGGGATGCTAATGAGTTCTAAAATCCCATGCGATTTAAAGATAGAGGATTTCATCCATCAGACCCTGGATAGAGAGCTAGGAGACCATAGTCTTACACCCAGGGGGTAAGAGCTTCCAGTTCATTTAATCTAAAACCAGGGGTTTGACATGTGCTCCACATTTTGTGCAGGGTATTAGCATAGTGTCCTGTTCTTAAATTAGGAAGTGAGTTTGGGGCTAATTTTTAACTTTAAATACCAGTAGCATAATCCTAAAAAAATATATATTTTCCCATTGTTAACGTGTCTCTCATCTTTTCACTGTGATAAGCGAAGATGGTACTTGTGTTTAACCAATTGCATGAGGTCAAAAAGAATCTAAAATGCATGTTTCAACCAATGGGTGTCTCTTAAATAACATGACCCAGCTTTGTGTACTGATCAAATGTACTATGTGATAGAACCAATATTATTTTAGGTAAATATTTAACATGTCCTATGTTGATACATCTTTTCACGTTGTTACTTTTGTTTATTTTGGCTATACATTGTTTCCACTCACTTCAACAGAGTTTGGGGTGCACTTGGCAGAGCTGACTGTGGATCCACAGGGTGCCCTTGCCATCCGACAGGTAGGACTTTTGACATTATTGCGACAACTACCATGAATTTATGTGTGCCCGTAAATCGCTGCTTCAGGGACAAATTCAATAATGCTACATAAGTGTGTATCATGTTTGGTCTGAGTCACTTTTAGGCTTGGTTAGAATTTCTTGCAAAAACTAAGGATTGCTGCAAATACAGTAACTTAATATCTTGAATCTTGATAAATGTTTATTAAGTTTTAGTCATCCTCTTAGCATGTTTTGCACATTTTTTTTTTTTTGGATACCTAAAAGTGTGTTAACTCTAACCTGTGGTGTTCCTTTAACACGACTAATCATGGTTAATGATAACTGTTTTTTGTGCAAGGTGAATATTTGTCATAATACATTTTTAATTGAGAATTTTATGTCTTCCTAGCTGGCATCTGTGGTGTTAAAGCAGTATGTAGAAAATCACTGGTGTGCCCAATCAGAGAGGTTTAGATTGCCTGAGACCACAGAAAGGGTAAGTGTCAGGGCGAGAGAATAATTTATTTTATTTACACTAATCCAGATGATGCATACGTAGGTATATTTATTTTATTACCCTTCAGGCAAAAGCTGCCATTCGTCTACTTCTCCCCCGTGGTTTGAGGGAATCTATCAGTAAGGTGCGATCAAGTGTGGCATATGCTGTGTCTGCCATTGCCCACTGGGACTGGCCTGAGGCATGGCCACAACTCTTCAGTCTGCTTATGGAAATGCTGGTGAGCGGGGAAGTTAACGCTGTACATGGGGCAATGAGAGTTTTGACAGGTAACTATATATTGATATTCTTTTTAATATATTAAATTTGGAAACATCCATTATTTGTAGTCTTTAAAAGAAAAATCAATGCACCATAACCACTGCAGTCTCTTGTAGTTATGTTGCCTGGAACCTTCCCAGTATCATTTGTCAAATCATTTTTAGAATGACACGACAACTTACCTGGGTCCCACTAGGCCCCTGTAGCCGCATTCAATGCTACTGCAGAACGTTAGTTAGCTTACTGAGCTAGGCAAGGCTGCCCTGCCATGCAGCTTCTCCTGCATGGAAAATCCAGGTGCTATGTACTGTGGAATGGCACGGGGGAACTTTTGGCACCAAAACAACTACAGCAATTGTTGTGATTAATGTGCTTGTAGTGTCCTATTAATCTAAATATGTCTTTTAAAATGGTTTAACGAGGGAACAAAACCTTGATAGTCACTTGTAACTTGTGTCAAACTTTTCCATGTTGTGTGTTTTTTTTTTGTTTTTTTTTATATATACTTGTGTGTGTATTGAGCAAATATGAGGTCTTGTCAGCCATACATTTTTCTGAAATCAATTAAATGCCTACCATTAAGCAGATCAATAAAATTGTTGACCACATGACATACTTGAAAAATTGCAAAATGTACCTTGATGTCATTGAATCTTATGTTATCTAATCCTGGCCTTTTGTAGAGTACTCTCTCCCTGCGCAGTGTAATATAAATATTGGTACACTCATGACCCTCCACTTGGGGACGAACACAAAATAGCTAAAGGAAACAGACTTTTGTATCAGTCAGGCAGAATGCCCCATTGACTCCTTACCTCTGTGGTCTTCCAGTCACTGCCTTTATGAGAGCTAGAGTGTTCCGTTAAATATGGAACTAAAAAATAATCACTTATCATGATATTCAAGACTTGTTGACATATGTGAAAAGATTGTAGCTCTGAGAAATTACATTTATTTTGCATTTATTCTTTTTTCTGTAGAATTTACAAGAGAAGTAACAGACACACAAATGCCTCTGGTTGCTCCCGTAATTCTTCCAGAGATGTACAAGATATTTACTATGAGTGAGGTATGTAACATGATATGATTGGCAGTTGCAATGTCTCTAAATTATAGTTTGTGGCTATAAATGACAAATCTGATAGCTGTATTAGCCTGTCCCAGTTCAGAATCTCAGGCATTTAAATACTGGATCTTAAGCTGCTAACTGGACACTACTCATAAGTATTTGCCAGTGGAGGGGTTGGGGGGGGGGGGAGTTAAACATGTATAAACAATGCATGGGTATTGTACTAAAACTGACATTTAGATTTGTCTTATTCTGTGTTGGACTGAATTGGAAATAATTCGTATTTGTAGTTTTTGATTGATATGTTGATATTTTGTTTTGGGGGTTGATTTTATCAGTAGTTGCATTCTGAAGCCACAGCTATAGTGTTCATGGGGGCTCCAGGACCAGAGCTACTACCAATACTACAGCTTCTCTTAAGACTTTTTAAAAGTAAGCAAACAAAAGGGGTCTCCCTATTAAATAAAATAATGGGGAAGGAAGGGAATTGTCACTTTAAAAAAAATTTGCCCTGTAGATGAGGGAGGGAACTTGCTACTGGCAAGTGAAAATTCAGCTCTGTAAGCTTTAAATAAGAGAGAGCAAGGCCCTGGCAGTTTGATTCTTTGTGGAGGCTGTTGATATATGGCAATCAGCCCTCACCTGTAGCAATGGAGTACTAAAGACTAATGAAAAGCTTACTTCCCTCCTGGACAGGCTGTAACAAATAGGAAATCACTGGCAAGTTATTTTCTTCTACCTTCAAGCCAGTCACTGAACTGTTTCACTTCTACATTATTGCAAAATTCAGATGATCTTATAAAATCGTTTTTTTTTTTTGTTTTTTTTTCTCTTCTTTCCATATTTAGGTCTATGGGATTCGAACTCGTGCACGTGCTGTGGAAATTTTTACAACTTGTGCGCATATGGTATGCACCATGGAGGAAATAGAGAAGGTCAGTAAACATGTGAAAGCATTACCTTTTATTTACGTGTCTGTGTGTAGGTATAATTCAAGAAGCATGAATATTTAAAAGAATACTTAAAGCACCATAATCACTACACTGTGCTTGTGTAGTGATTATGGTGCCTTGGTTCCCCTTCGTGTAAGCAGTCACAGTTTTATTGAACGGTTTGGACAGGTGCCCCTGTCTGCTCCTCTGAAGCCTCCGTAGACCTGGAAGCACTCTGCCTAACCTAAGTCTGGTGGTGTAGGGCTTAGATCACTGACTGAGACCGACCAGCTGTCGCTCTCAGCCAGTGATCTGGTCCTGCAATGCAGGGGTTTTGCTCAGGAGAGCTAACGGAAGCTCCTAGTCAGAGCTTCTGGCTCTCCTGAAGCATGCAGAAAGGTGGTTAGTGGTGCTCAGCAGATCCAGGTAACAAGTCAAACGAATGGTCCAGCACCCTCCAAACATAATCTAGTGTTGTTTTTATTTAGTGCGTAGTGGAAACACAAACCACAGTGCTTCAGCTCACACATGAGCCCTTTTTAAGTTCTATAACCTATTGACTACTTACATTGTGGGGTGTGGGTGCAAGGAGGATGCTGTAGTGTACAAATCCCATGATTATCAGCCTATCTATTTAATTCATAGAATCATTGGAGTTGTAGTTCAGCAACATCTGGAGGGCCAGAGTTTGGAGAAGCCTGCTGTAGTAGTTATAGTGCTTTAAATCTTGCTTAAGCTTAATATGAAAAACATGAGGAGTATGATATTTTTTACACTTATACATAGAATATGTATTCTTTTAATGGTGTGTACAACCATTTATAACTTACCCAAAGAATATCCAAACCACTATTATTTTTGTGTTTGTGAAATACAAATCTATATAGAGAGAGATACAATAAAACTAATTATAAAAGTTTTGAACACTAATATTTCATGGTGTAATCATAATGCAGTCATCGTGGTCCTTGGAGAAGACTTTTAAGACGCGATCCAACTGGAGACTTAATGATAAAAAAAACGAAATCTAGAGATAATTAAAGAAACCACTGTGATTTATTTATTTTTCCTCTGAGGAGATTTCTTCCCCAATTATCTGGTGCATACAAATGTACAGTTAGAGGCATTTTTGATCAAACTTGGTGCCCAAGAAAAAAGGCTCAGAGGGGCAAGCTTAGCTGAATTATACATACAACTAGATGAGCTGGAAGTCAAAAATAAGAGCGGACCCACAAAGGAAAAAAGCGATATCAGATTAATAAACTACTGATTCAGAAAGCCAATAACACCCTAGACTCTAGGGCCTAGAGAATCTCAAAAGAAAGTGGTACTACAGAAGGAAAAAAGCTGACAAATTAATGACAATAGATTGAAAAATGAAAGAGCAAGTAAAATAGTCTCAAAAATTACTTAGTCCTGAAAAAATTAGTAAAGCTTTTCGAGAATTCTACTCTGGTTTGTACAATCTGCTGAGGATCCTCTGCGAATGTCAAATATTTTTTCTTAAATATAATCTTCCAAAAATTTCTAAATAATACTTATCTAATTTAAACACACCTATTTCAGAGAACGAAATAGAAAATGCTATAAAGAAAAGTAATTAATTCAAATAAAGCACCTGGTCTAGATGGATATGACAACATTTATTTCACTCAGAGATAAGCTTAACCCCTTCCCGACTGGTGACGTACCAGGTACGTCCTCCAAACAACGGTCTGTAATGACTGCGGACGTACCTGGTACGTCATTTAGTAAATCTCCACTTACCTGACCGCTTGCCATCCCCCGCCGGCGATTGTGATCATGGGGTCTACCTTGGAGCTCAGGCAGACCCCCCACTGCCCAATCCGGCCCTCCCGCCCATGTGATCACGGGGCTGACTTGTGCAGTGCCTGCGGGGGGGCCTGTCTGATCTCTCAGGCAGTCCTCCTTGTACCTGAAAAAGTTTCAAACGTTAAAGTTAAATAAAAGGTTTTAAAGTCTATGGAGCTGCCAACAGGGGTACTGTCTGAGCTGTCAGGCAGTCCCCCAGGCTGCTAAAAAGTTTTTAAAAAATAAATATATTCAACATAATGCTAATTAAAGCATTTTATAATATATTATGCATATATATGATTTCATTCTAAGTGTACTTTGAGATAGATAGATAGAGAGAGAGATATATATATATATATATATATACACACACATATCAAAATACTCTGATAATGAAATCTTATATATGTATAATCTAAAATGCTTCAATTATTTTATAATATACATAAATAGGAAATAAGTGTGTGTGTGTGTGTGTGTGTATATCTAATTTAAATTGATTTTCTGAGTGGTATGTTAATTCCTCATTATCGGGGCCAGAGGCTTGGGAGTTTGAGGGTTCTGCGCAGTATCTTAGCTGTTCCTAGAACTGCACTCTTATGGACAGCGATCTCAGATGTCCCACCTGGAATCTGTTGAAGCCACTCCCCCAACTTGGGAGTCACAGCCCCGTGTGCTCCTATCACAACTAGTACTACTACTGCCTTCACTTTCCACATCCTTTCTAGTGCTTCTTTCAGTCCTTGGTATTTGTCCACCTTCTCATGTTCCTTCTTCCTAAAGTTCTAGTTACTGGGTATTGCCACATCCACCACGACTGCAGTCTTTCGTTCCTTGTCTACCACCACGATATCTGGTTGGTTGGCCAGCATTTGCTTGTCTGTCTGGATCTTGAAGTCCCACAGGATCTTAGCCCTGTCATTCTCAACTACCCTTTGTGGGATCTCCCATCTGGACTAAGGCAGGTCCAATCCATATTCTGTGCAGATGTTTCGGTACACAATCCCAGCAACTTGGTTGTGTCTCTCTGTGTATGCTGTTCCTGCTAACAACTTGCATCCGGCTACTAGGTGCTGTACTATATCAGAGGCCTCTTTGCACAGTCTGCACCTTGGGTCTTGCCTGGTTTGGAAGACTCCAGCTTCTATTGATCTGGTGCTGAGTGCCTGCTCCTGTGCTGCTAGGATTAGTGCCTCAGTGCTGTCTTTCAGTCCTGCCTTTTCCAACCACTGGTAGGATTTTGTCATGTGAGCCACATCCACTATCTGCTGGTGGTACACCCTATGGAGAGGGTTGTCTTGCCAAGGAACCTCCTCTTTTTCTGCATCCTCTATCTGTTGAAGTCTCAGGCATTCCCTTAGCAGTTCATCTTTGGGAGCTCCCTTTGTGATGTACTTGTGGATGCTCTGTGTTTCATCCAGGACTGTGGCCTTGACACTCATCATGCCTTGACCTCCTTCCTTGCGGCAGGTGTACAGTTCCTGGGTGCTGGATTTCGGGTGGAATCCTCTATTCATAGGGAGTAGTTTCCTGGTCTTGACATCCATGGTGACCAGTTCTTCTTCTCTTGGCCAGGTTATTATTCCAGCTGATGACCGGTAGGGCATATGTGTTGATGGCTTGCCATTGAACTGGGACCTAAGGACCTGTCTGACTCTTTGGAGGTATTTGGATTTTGCTATTCTCCTTGCCTCTTCCTCATGGTTGCCATGCGTTTGTGGTACCCCCAGGTACTTGTAGCTGTTCTCTACATCTTCTATGCATTATATATATATATATATATATATATATATATATATATATATATATATATATATATATATATATATACACACACTCTGCATTATATATACACACACTACACACACTCTGCATTATATACACACACACTACACACACACACACACTACACACACTCTGCATTATATACACACACACACTACACACACTCTGCATTATATATACACACACAGCTCCCCTGTCTAAACAAATTGCATCCACTACATGTGGCATGTATATTTTGTGCATTTATATTTTAGAAGTTATTTTTTCAAAATGGTAAATGTACAGGTTATCGGCTATCTGCCTGAAAGTTCAGAGTATCTGCTCTAAAAAAACAATATCGGTCGATCCCTAGTTTAAAACAGTAAAACTTATCACGACGATGAAATCGCCAGTAAAGTGCAGTTTTTGTGTAAAAAAAAAAAATTAAAAAATGCAAAAACCAAATATGAACGATAACTTTGGCCAGCGTTTGTGTGGCTACTACAAAAGAATGGACATACTCCATTTTGAATACCCTAGATTGTGTACTTTTTAAAATGGTATGTCATGGTGGGGTTAACTTGGCAAATGGCAATTTACAAAAACAGAAATTGGCATATGTTATTTTTGACCAGGTAACTTTCCAAATACCATAAAACCTGTACTTTGAAGAGGGACTGTTGTACTCGTGAGACATTTTACACAAATGAGTATTTTAGAGCAGTAAAATGTATTATACTGATATCGGTGAAATGGCAGTTTGTGTGAAAAATTCTAAAAACCTAATATAAACAATAATCTTGTTCAGGGTTTGTGACTACTAAAAATGACTGGACATACCCCATTTTGAATACCATGGGTTGTCTACCTTTACAAACAGCTTGCCATGATGGGGTTAATTTTCATTCCTGGGCTGCTCTACAGTCTCAAAGGCAACATAGGCCGTGCAAACATGGAAAAGGGAAAGCCCTACGTTTGACCCCTGTAAGTTTGCAAAAAAACTGTATATTGGGGACACTGTTGTACTCAGGAGATGTTGAACACATATTGGAGTGTTCTCTGTCAGTAACGCATAACTGGAACTGAGAATCCATGTCTAAAGTACAATGTGAGAGAAAAATAACACAAAAAAATGACTACCCAAAAATTTGACAAAGACTGGTGGTAGAATTAGTGCATGGAAAGTGTTAAAATACCACCATTTGAAATACCCTAGGGTGTCTACTTTTCAAAAATATATGATTTGACGGGGTTAAATTACATTGGCCGACCTCCAAAAATGTCCGAAATAGGACATGGGTGCATGATGACCAGCTGTGAAAATTAAATATACACTGGTTATTCAGGGATTCCTGACTAAAAAGAAATGGTTTGGAAATAGCAAAGTGCTACTTGTACTTATTGCCTTATAACTTTCCAAAAAAAAAGCTAAGAACATGTTAACATTGGGTATTTTTAAACGCAAGACAAAATTGTGAAACTATTTAGCAGGGTTTTTTTTTGGGCGGTTGTAGATGTGCAACAGATTTGGGGGGTCAAAATTCGAAAAAGTGAGTTTTTGTTTTTCATCATATTTTATAAAAACTTTTATAGTAAATTATGATATGATGAAAATAATGGTATCTTTAGAAAGACCATTTAATGGCGAGAAACTGTATATAATATGTGTGGGTACAGTAAATGAGTAAGAGGAAAATTACAGCTAAACACAAACACCGCAGAAATGTAAAAACAGCACTTGTCCTTAAAGGACCACTATAGTGCCAAACTCGTTTTCCTGGCACTATAGTGTTAATAGGTCCCTCCAGCCGGGCTGAAGGGGGAGGAAGGGGTTAAATTCTTACCTTTCTCCAGCACCGGGCTCCCTCGGCGCTCGGGACTCTCCTCCTCCTTCCCACGTCATCGGCTGAATGTGCATGCGCAGCAAGAGCCACGCACGCATTCAGTCAGTCCATAGGAAAGCATTCTCAATGCTTTCCTATGGAAGCTGGCTTCTTCTCACTGTGAAAATCACAGTGAGAAGCGCGGAAGCGGCTCTAGCAGCTGTCAATGAGACAGCCACTAGAGGCTGGATTAACCCTAATGTAAACAGAGCAGTTTCTCTGAAACTGCTATGTTTACAGCAGGCAGGGTTAACCCTAGATAGACCTGGCACCCAGACCACTTCATTGAGCTGAAGTGGTCTGGGTGCCTATAGTGTTCCTTTAATAGGTCCTTTATATTTGAAGCTAAACTATTTTTACTCCTTATAAATATACTTGATATCTTTGACCAGTATTCTTTTATAGTTATCCTAATATATCTTAATTGCAGCAAAACTAATGATGGCCAAAAATTTTAAAAGTGTGGTGACACCATGTTGGCCTCTAGTTAAATAGCAGTTGTTATATCAAATAAGGACTGAGAGGGATATACTTAAATAATCTGACAATAACTATGAATATTGGTTGGTACAATTTGCAAAGCTATGAGGGGAAAATACACTCCTGACAGTGCAATTTCTTTTTTTTCATCTTCTAATGTAAGATTCGATATAAATATATTTGAAGCCCCCCTACCCCATTCTCCCCCCAGCGCAGAGAAACTGTTAACCCCTTAAGGACTGGACTGTTTTTGCGATGTTGTACATTTGTGACCAGGCATATTTTTACACTTTTGTGGTGTTTGTGTTTGGCTGTAATTTTCCGCTTTCTCATTTACTGTTCCCATACAAATTATATATTGATTTTTTTCAGGACAAAAGGGGCTTTCTTTACATACCATTATTTTTATAATCTCATGTATTTTAATTTAAAAAATATAAAAAAATATGATGAAAAATTGAAAAAAATACATGTTTTTTGACTTTTACTTGAAAAATCATTTTACTCATCTACAAAAGCGAATGAAAAAAACTGCTAAATGCTAAATTTTGTCCTGAGTTTAAAAATACCTAGTGTTTACGTGCTTTTTTGCTTTTTTTTGCATGTTATAGGGCTATAGGTACAAGTAGGATATTGCGGTTTCAAAACATACATTTTTAAAATTTATCAATAGTGACATTGTAACACTATTATCTGTCATAAATGAATAACACCCCACATGTACATATTTTTTTTTAAAGTAGACAACCCAGGGTATTCAATATGGGGTATGTCCAGTCTTTTTTAGTAGCCACTTAGTCGAAAACACTGGCCAAAGTAAGCATTCATATTTGTTTGTGTGTTAAAAAAGTAAAAAAAACTAAATTGAACGCTAATTTTGGCCAGTGTTTGTGACCAAGTGGTTACTAAAAAAGACTGGACATATACCCCATTTGCAATACCTTGGGTTGTCTTCTTTTGCAAATGGTATGCCATCATGGGGGTAATTCTCATTCCTGGGCTACCATACGCTCTCAAAGGCAACGTAACCAACCTGGCCATTTTCAATGTAAAAATATTTGACCCATATATTTGACTTTGTAACTTTCAAAAATGCTATAAAACCTGTACATGGGGGGTACTGTTTTACTCGGGAGACATCGCTGAACACAAATATTAGTGTTTAAAAACTGGAAAACGTATCAGAACAATTATATCATCAGTAAAAGTGCTGTTTGTGTGTGAAAAATGCAAAAAAAGTAACTTTCACTGACAATATCATCGCTGTGATATGTTTTACTGTTTTGAATCACTAATATTTGTGTTCAGCTAAGTCTCCCGAGTAAAACAGTACCCCCCATGTACAGGTTTTAGGGTGTCGTAGAACGTTACAGGGTAAAATACAGTGCTAGCAAATTAAATTCTCTGGACTTTCGGCCTGGGTTGGCAGGCAGGTCCCTCAAATTGCAATCAATAAAATTACTTAATTATGTAAAATATTACATAAATACGCACGTAGAATTTAAATATATATGCATATTTATATATTTGAAGTCTACGTGTATATTTATATAATTATTTATGTAATTTTGTATATGGACATATGTATATTTCGTATTATATTTATTTATATATACATAGATATATATACAAATTCATTCTAAGTGTATTTTGATATAAATATATATATTAATTTTAAAATACAGTTAGAATAAAATTTCATATAGATATATAATTTTTTTTAAATTTTTTATTATTTAAAAATTTTTTATTTAATTTAAATTACTTATTTATATTTTATTATATATGTGTGTGTGTGTGTGTGTATATATATGTATATGTGTGTGTATATGTGTGTGTGTGTGTGTATATATATATATATATATATATATATATATATATATATACACGTGTGTAATTTATAAGTGTATTTTTATATTAATATAAGTACATATTAATATAAAAATACACTTAGTATGGCAATATATATATATATTATATAGATATAATATATGTCTATATATCATATATATACACATATATAATTATTATAATTTTTTTTATTAACACTAACTTTATTTTTTTTATTGATTTTACACATGCAGGGAGACTGCCTGTCAGCGCAGGCAGACACTAGGACACCTATTGTGACCATGTGATCGCTGTGTTAAGCGATCACATGGCCACAGGGGTCCTAATCCAGTGTGGGGAGACTGTCTGGGCTGCAGGCAGTCTCCCCACAACCGGAGCCACGCTGATCGCCGCCGGGGGAACGACGGCGATCAGGTAAGTAACTCAGACCTTTAGGACGGTCCTGAACCGTCCTCGGTCGGGAAGGGGTTAAATATGTAAATTGTCGAAATGTCATAATGTATATTTAAGTATGTATTTTAGTTTTTTTTCTTTCTTTTTTTTTTTTCTGCTGTTATTGTGATTTGTTACTTTTTTTTTTTTTTTTAATTCTTTATTTTTGTTTCAACACCAAGTGCAGCTTAATTACATTTAGTGGCCCGCACAGGGGCCGTTCATCAACATATAATGCAATTCTTTGTACAGAGAATAGGTGAAGGTGTATCAGGTATACTGGTTTTAATGTGCCGCTCGGTGGTGTTTTTCAATTTTTTAGGGCCTTTCAGGTCCCTATGTCAAGCATGAACAAAAATGAATTCCATACAATGTGTTATACGTTTATGTAGCATATGAAACCATTAACATAGTGTGGTCCTAAGTTCCGCCCGGCAGTTTCATCGTCATTGTGGTTGTCAGTGTAACACTCATAGTGGTTCTTGCTGTTGTGTTCCTTATGTGTTCGCTAATGCGTCTGATTTGTTTTGTACTGTGTTAGCAGCGGACTTCTTGCATGTCCGTCCCCTAAGGTTATGTCCGCCTAGGTCCGAGTTGGGTGCTCCCCCAACGTGAACAGTTTCCATGAGGCTGTTGGAGGCCCTTATGTGGCGTTCTTCCCCCCTTTGGGGCAATTCCCTAAGGGACTGCTAGCCCGGTCGCATGTGTGTGGTGGTAATTATGCCGCCGTGAGCGTTCATTGCGTTCGTTTTCTACGAGTGTTTTGTCCTGTTTTTGCTGCCTAACTAGGTCATTCTGTGTGTGTCACCTGTGGTTCAAGGCATTCGCGTTAGCCGGTGTTTATCTGATATGGTGTCCCGTATGGCTGGTGGTTTAAGAGATGGGGAGGTCCTGGACGGGGCTGTGGGGGAGGGGTGTGTTGTTCGTCGGGGCGGGCGTAGGTCTACGGATCTGTTACACACCTTTTTCAAGCTATATGGTGTCGTTAATTAGCGTACACTTCCCAGGGTTACCTGATTTTTAGGAATGATTTTTCCGTGTGTCTAATTTGGGCTGTGAGTTTGTCCATCGGGTATGTGTCTTTGATTTTTAACTATCACATCGTTGTCGGTGGGAACTGTGGGTTTCAGCCACATCTGTGCAAGAGCTCTTCTCGCAGCCAGTGTGAGTTTGTTTAAAAGTTGTTGTTCTTTCCTGGGGAGGCCGTCTGTTGGTCGGGACAGTAGTATCGCCCAGGGGTCTAAGTCTATGTGTCTTGTGAGGACATCTTTCAGTAATGTCTGAACCCTCTTCCAGTATTTGGTCACTTCAGGGCATTCCCACCACATGTGGACAAAGGTGCCTTTGCCTCCGCATCCCTTCCAGCATGTGTCTGTCGAGGTTTTCCCCATCTTATGGAGTTGGACAGGTGTTGTGTACCTAAAACAATAAATAGTTGCAGCGCACTCAGACTACAAAACAATACATAATACAAAGAAGGCTACTAAAATGCCTATCTGAGAATAAATATGGGGATTTAGTTCCACCATATGGCCATATGTTGTTAAGCCCACCACTACTTGGTGTTGTGTACCATCTCATAAGCATTTTGTAGGATTGTTCCTGGTATAATACGCAAATCGACGTTTTAGCCGTCACTTCCCATATATCAACCCAATCCTCACCTTCTAAGGCCCCCCACTGGTGTAAGTATCTTGGGTCTGGGGCTCCCTTTTCCTGGGCGCTGCGCTGCGCGGAAATGGCCGTAATCAACCCCTTTTGAGTTGTTTCGCCGTTACACAGCTGTTCATAGAATGTCATTGGGGTCTGTGCTGCTTTTTTTTATTTTTTTTATTTCGGGGTTTTTGGCATTGTCTCGCAACTGTACATATCGGAAGACGTCTTTTGTTGTTAGGGGTGCTATGGTTTTTAGGGTGTCAAAGGTTTTGAAGGAGTCGCTGTCCTACATGAGCCCATATCTTTGCATTCCCGTGTATTCTATCCCCCTAAAGTCTCGTGCGCTCAGCCCGGGCCCAAATGCTTTATTCTGTAGGTACGGTGTCAACGGCGAGGGTGTATGTTTTAGTGCGTATTTGGTGGCTGTCAGATCCTTATGGAATTGTGTGATTTTTTTTTTTTTTTTACTTTTAATGTGTATATGTAACGGGAAAAAAGAAAACTCAATAAAAGATTAATGATAAAGAAGGAGAAAGTGGGGAAAAAAGATACAATATGTGTCTATATCTCTTTCTTCTTCTCCAATCTTGGTCCCAGTATTACACTACATTGTTTGCTGTTTGTTTATATAAAAATAAAATGTGTACAGGTAAAGGCATGCTGATAGGTTACCCTTATTATTGAAATGTATGCCTTTAAAAAGAGCTTTTCTTATAGTACCTCTTTCTGGCTTTCAGTGGGGTTTGAACTGCTTAGTGTGTCCGGCTCAGCTAATTGTTAATTTTGCTGCTGACTGCAGCTCTATTGAGGCAAACACACACAGTCTAGTTTCAGCAGATCTGCTCAACTTTTCTCCCTCTTCCACTCCAATAGTTTAATACAGTTATCCCCACTAAACTGTTTCAAGGCATTTCAGACGTTAATAATCACGTGCCAGTAGATATTTACATCATTTTGTAAAGGAACGCTTAAGTGCTTTGTGTCTGGACTCTCGGCGCTTATAAAAGGTCATAAATAGGACAATTTCAATATAATTGGTGTCAGAAACACCTGATTGACTGCAAGGGAGTTTTTCTTCCGCTTCCATTGGCTCCACTGAACTAATGGAAGTGGTAGGCATGCTTGACGCCTGCCTTTTCCCCTTTTCGATGAGCAGTACTACAGCTTTTTGAGAAGACAGGAAAGTTGTGATCCAGCACAGATGCCACTCGTATGTATGTGAATACATATTTCATCTATCTGGCCGTTTGAGAATATAATCAGGCTGTTTGATTTGTTAGGTGTGAACATATGTAAAAGAAATCTAATAGAATTGTGATCAGAAAGTCTCTGAAGTGTTGCGGGTTAAATTTACGGTTATCAGCTACTTGTGGCTATGTATGAATTTACTAACCCAGGTCTATATATATTATTTTTTTTAGTTTTTGTATAATAATACTCTCATCAAGTATACATGCACCTTGGGTCAAACAGTGCTTGAAAACCAACACTGTTGAACAGTGAGGTGCTTCTGCCAAAATAGCCAAGTAAAACTCTTATTTCAATCAGATGGTCTCATAGATACCATTGGATTGATGTAGCAGACCCCCCCCCCCCACACACATACACACTAGCCTCCCAATGGATTCTTGTGGAAAATCACTCGATTAGCATAGATCATTAAGATTGTCAGCCACAGAGACAGGACCGGCTGTGATTAGAGCACCATGGCGAGGGAGAAAGGGTAAGTTATTCCTAAGTGTTCTTTTAAAGTGTTTGTCTTGTCTCTCCTGTGAATATGTCATGTTTGAAAATATTTTTTTTCTGTTAATGTTGTTGGCTATACATCTTACAAATGTCAGCATACTGTAAAATATTGTTTGTTTGTTTTTTTTTTTACCCACATTTAAGGGTGTTGCACATGCTTTGATCTTCCCTGTGGTGCAACAGTTCACAGATGCATTTGTCCAAGCGTTGCAGATGCCCGATGGTCCCACATCTGACAGCGGTCTTAAGATGGAAGTCTTAAAGGTATGCGCTGCAAAATATATTTGAAGCATGAGATCCCATTACATAAACCACATATCTTGACTATGGGCTAAACACAGATATTACACAGAAAATTCAATGCTTTAATTTTATTGTGACCACTTTTAACCTCACCTTGTCAAAAGGCTTGTGTTCTCTGCGGTCACTTCCATGTTGTGCCCGAAGATCAAACTAGTGATTCTCTAAAATCAGTTCTTCCATTTGCTCTTTATTGTAATTGGATGTTGGGAAACACAACATACTGGCAGTCTAGAGACCCAACTAGGGTTTGCAGATCACATGCAGATGGATAATATGTTGCAGCATGTAGACTTTATATGCTGTAGGATAATTTGTTTATAAATCCCAAAGGAACTTTTCTTAACTGCAATGATTTCTCGATCACAACTCTGTTTCCTGTGAAACCCTGCTTAAGTTTTAAATATTTCTTCAGGAATGTGTGCAGCAAGCTGGGCACATACAATTAAAGGACCACTATAGTGCCAGGAAAACATACTTGTTTTCCTGGCTCTATAGGGTCCTTGGTTCCCCCTCACCAGCCGGCCTCTAGGGGGAGGAAGGGGTTAATCCCTTACCTTTTTTCCAGCACCGGGCTACCTTGGCGCTGGGGACACTCCTCCTTTCCCGTCATCGGCTGAATGCGCATGCGTGGCATGAGCCATGCGCATTCAGCCAGTTTAATAGGAAAGATTTCTCAGTGCTTTCCTATGGATGCTGGCATCTTCTCACTGAAAATCAGTCGGAAGCGCCTCTAGCGGCTGTCAATGAGACAGCCACAAGAGGCGGGATTAACCCATTTGTAAACATAGCAGTTTCTCTGAAGCTGCTATGTTTATAGCAGGCAGGGTTAATCCTAGAGGGACCTGGCACCCAGACCACTTCATTAAGCTGAAGTGGTCCTTTAAAGTTGCCTGTTGAAGCATCTGAGTTGTAATCCCTACCTACTTTCATTTGTTTGTGTCAGTGTCTCCAATATATTTTTATTTTCTCCGGGGGGGGTGGGGGGGGAGTCGAGATTCGCGCTTTGGGGTAAAACTGTTCAAAAATGGTTTAACCCCTTGAGGTAATAATGCACTCAGAGGCCTTCTAGTGCCATAACTTTTGTTTAAATTAAGATTTTATGGTGTCTATAGTGTTCTTTAAGTACCACCATTTTTGGTGTTTATCACACATTGTATTTAGTGAAATAAAGGTGTTGCATATACAGATTGTTTACCTTTTTCAAACATTGCTCTTACTTAGAAATAGAATTACTTTTGCCGTCATTTATCACAGTGCAGGGACCACAACCACAGGCAAGCTGTAATGTGTTTTTTGTTTTTTTGCTTAGATTGTCCCTTTACAAGGGAAGAAAACCAATCTGAGCACACAGTGAAAAATATAATTCAGCACAAAAAGTTATGCATTGTGGATTACTACAAGCCAACTGTAGTGGCTATTATTATTATTATTATTATTACCATTTTATATAGCGCCAACAGATTCTGTAGCGCTTCTCAATATTATGAGAGGGGAGATTTAACTATAAATAGGGCAATTACAAGAAAACTTACAGGAACGATAGGTTGAAGAGGACCCTGCTCAAACTGTGCGTTCCCTGGTAAGGGGACAAACTAGTTCTGCTTGGTATTCATTATTTGGCAAAACTATTCCCTTTCTCCTAATCAACAGTGGGTTGCAGATCAGTTAGAACCTCTTAGCTATGCAGTTGACATTTTGAAGGGCAAAATTTATCTTTTTCTCTGCTTCTATTTACTCTTCAAGTATATTCTAATATTTTGTTAAACCAGAAAGCATAGCCATCTCTGTAAGTAAATCGGATAATAAGTTTAAGTAAATGAACCGTAAACATCTTTCCTGTACAAAACAAAACCTCCTACAATAAATACAGCACATTACATAAAAATATGTCCTTATTTAGCTTTTTTTTTTTATATGACATATGGACACGTCAATAATAAAATTTTGTTTCTACAGTTTTTTTTTTAGTTGAGTGAAGCTGTGGCTCACATGGACAAGCTCTCAAAGTGAATAACTTGATACTTTTCATGGAAAAGAAAAACATAGCCTGCATGTTAATTGGCAACACGCTCTTGTACAAAGACTTTGAACACTTGCATGTTATACTTACTATTTAGAGTAGGATTTTCACTCAACATTGGTGTTAATATTTTCTTCATTGCAGGCGGTGACTGCTTTAGTGAAAAATTTTCCTAAACAAATGGTTTCATCGATGCAGCAGATACTACCTATTGTATGGAACACGCTTACTGAGAGCGCTACTTTATATCCTTTATACAAAGCCTCCGTAACTGCATAATTTCTTTAATAGCGTGTTTGTGTAATGCCTTTTCTATTTGCCATCTTCTTTGTCATCACCACACTTTGCATAGGGTTGACAGATGAGCAGTAGGAGCGTGCTACCAAAGTCCTCACTCAGCCTGCCTTCCAGGATAATTGTTTTTTTTTTTTTTTTTAAACAAAAAAAGTTATATTAAAACAGATTTTTGCACGGGGAAATATAAATCAGGGAAACCTCATGTGAAAATCCCGCGTTTGGTATTTCATAAAACTAAGTAATTGATTGTAATGTCTACAACAGTAAACAATGTGTGAGAAGATTGCTGCAATATAGCAAAAGATAACCGTTTAACCGTCTATTCAATGATATAACAGGCTTTATTTATCCATTGCCAAAAATAAACATAACACTGACAGTTGTATCTATATGCTTATTAGACATAGTGATCCTAAAAATCAAGCCAACAGGTGATATATTGTGTCTCTATATATTCCCTATTAGTATAATAAACATCCCTTCAGAATCATTTCATAATTACAATGTCCAAATAATCTGGAACAATCGTTGAAAAAGGAGAGGGGAGTTTAATTGAGGAAAACAAAATATAATAGAGATCACCTACTGCACCTTCAAGGGTGCAAAAAAACTGAAATAAGTATAAACTCCTGCATCTACACAGGTTCTATTAAGGCCTGATACTAATATCCTTTAGCACCTCCAGTATGTATGCTAGGAGATAGGAGACTCCATTGCAGCCGTTTATACAGGGACTTTACCATTAGCATCCATGAAGGTGGATCCGTGAAATCCGTGAAAGGTGAAGGTGCATCCGTGAAAGTGTAGGTGCAGGAGTTTATACTTATTTCTGGGGGGGTTTTGCACCCTTGAAGGTGCAGTAATTGAAGGGGTTTTGGTGATTGTATTTTAATAGTCCAGACCATACATAAGTGGACTTTTTGCAGGATAAAGAGCAGTATATATGTATAGAAATAGGCACTTTTAAGCCCCCAGGCAATTGCTACCTTTGATTATCGTCATACTTACCTAAGCTGTGTCTAAAGTGTCTTACCTGCTCCCTCCTTCTATCTCTCCAGATCTTATCACTTTGTATACGTATCCTACTATAATTACCCTACTTTTCTACTCCAATAACTACCATCACAGCCAATTGACAATTTATCTCCCTATTATGTTTTTTTTTTTTCTCTTCAACTAAACTCTTCTTTTTCAACGATTGTTCCAGATTATTTGGACATTGTAATTATGAAATGATTCTGAAGGGATGTTTATTATACTGATAGGGGATATATAGACACACAATATATCACCTGTTGGCTTGATTTTTAGGATCACTATGTCTAATAAGCATATAGATACAACTGTCAGTGTTATGTTTATTTTTGGCAATGGATAAATAAAGCCTGTTCTATCATTGAATAGACGGTTAAATGGTTATCTTGCTATATTGCAGCAATCTTCTCACACATTGTTTACTGTTGCAGACATTCCATTCAATCATTTACTTAGTTTCATGAAATACCAAACCAGGGATTATCACGAGGTTTTACCTGATTTATATTTTTACTGGGTGGAATTGGTACCAACCCCCGTCCGGGATATTCTCAGTATAGGGGTGACTTAGTCTATTTTTGTTTTCCAGGAAGAAACCTTCTATATTTAAAAAATGGGTATATATTTTTCCTGCAATAAATTCTTTCTTTAACATGGCTTTTCACCTATGTCCGTACTGAAGTAAATGATACTGAGGAATTGGAGGATCCCGTGGATTCTGATGGTGAGGTTAATAACAATACTAACTTTTAAGTGCATTGTGAAGTACAACTCCTAAGAGCCAGTTGATATTTATTTTTATTAATTGTACTTTATTGAAAGATTGGAGTTTGGGTACAGAAAGCAAAATGTGGGGTGGGGGGTGCGCAAAAAGAATATATGGCACAAAATAGATATCACATTGATTTAGTACATACAATAAGAGTCATATTCCGTTATTAACCTGGTTGTATGTTTGGTTTTTAACGGTTACTCCAATAATGGGAGCAGCTCTTTTGCCTTAATGCAGGAGGGACATATTGCTTCTAAACATTGGGCTTGAATATTATTGTTAAAGGCACTTTAGGCATCCAGGTCACTTCAGCTCATTGAAGTAGTCTGGGTGCATGGTCCCAGGTCCTTTAACCCTGCAAAGGTAATTATTGCAGTTTTTAATAAACTGCAATAATTACCTTTGACTGTTAATGCCACCTCTAGTGGCTGTCTTTACTATGCGGGAAATACTAATGCAAGTGCGGCCATTGCTGCTCATGCGCTTTAGGTCTCTCCCGGTGGCTGATGGTAGGGGGAGGCGTGGAGCCAGAGCAACCTGGACTCTGCTAAGTGACAGAAGGGATTTTTAACCCCTTTTGCACCACAGGGGTGGGCCATGTGGAAGGGGTCACTATAGGGAGCTATAGTGCCAGGAAAACAACTTTGTTTTCCTGGAACTAAAGTTTCCCTTTAAGTGATGAGGTCAATATGTATCTAGATTTTATTTATTTTGACACATAAATAATAGTACATTTCATTGATCAACATGTCACAGGTAACACAGCAAAAAGTATTGTATCCAGATGAACAATGTCTTGTTTTCATTAAAGAAACAGTCAAACAATAATTTCTCAAAAGCAAGACCGAAGTGAAAATAAACTATTGATGCTATTCTTAACTTCAAATAATATAATGCAGAAATACAGTTGGTTGACAGCATGGGTATAACTGATAGACAAATAATTATGGCTTAGAAGCTTGGTGAATGAGTAATAAAGCATAAGTCAAGTAAGTATTCACAAGATAGGCCCATCGAAAAAAGAATTAGATCCACATCTAATGAGTAGTAATTTAAACAAAAAGCATCAAACAACAGAGTACGAATGAAGGCAGGTACATAGAGCCAAAAAGCTGAGTACCACAGCCAAAGAGTCTAAGCCCAGTTTCCTGATGTGATTTGCAGTCTTCTGGATCTTCGAGAAGTACTTCTTTAATGAACTCCATTCCACTGGTCAGAGTTCACTCATAATCCTAGTGCGTCCCCCTAGCGTAATTGCTCTAGTCACAAGCCAGAAATGGAGCAGACACTCAATGTCCCTGGAACCCCGCCCCTTGCCCAAGCGTAGGCCCGTGTCCCTGAGTCGATTCACCCAGCTTCTATCCAAGTTAAAGAAATGTGAGTATTGTATACTAAGTGCAAGGCACTGTGTGGCACCAGGCCCAGGTGCAACATTGTTCAATCTGTTACATAAAGCTAGTCTCTCTTTCCTACTTTTCCATGCTGGAGTATTCTTTTGGAAAGTGGTAGTATTAGTTGGTTGCAGAGGGACAAAAGTTTGTGTATCGTTTGGTCCGACCACCAGAGTCACAGTACTTTCATTTCTGCTTTAAATATACATAACTGTGTATCAGGCTCTTTCATTGTAAATAATTAAATACATTTCTACTTTCCAAAAATAATACATTTTGTAATTCTCCAAGTTCATTGTTGCGGATGGATTGTGATAATTGTGTTATTCCCTTGTCTGACCATATTCAGTAGGAAAATTGTGGGGATGTAACCTTAAGGGAGGACATGGGGTAGTATTGAGCCTTTTCATTAGGCTATGCTAGATTTCAAAAGATGATTTTGTGGTTTGATATATAAAGTCTTAAAGCAAAGTTGTTTAGGTGTCCATATCAACCCAGTTTAATTGGGATGCAGCAGAATGGAGATTAATACGCAGTGTACGGATGGTTGCGATATAATAGTTCAGAATAGTGGGAACCTCCCATTGCAAATGGCCCTATAAGAAGGAGAATTTTACTCTGGGTTGTCTGCGTTCCATAATAAAGGATATCAAGAAGCCCTGAAGTTTAGCACAGTAGGTCAAAGTAATTGATATCGGAAAATATATTTCCTGTTCAAGGCAGGAATGGGGATTTCCATCCATTCAGTTTGTTTAATTTGGCTGCGAAAGGGGTATTTGATTAAATTTATATATGATCGCTGTCGATTTTAGAATTTTATATTCCTAGATATGTGAGGCAATCTTGCCTCCAGTCTAAGGAGAATTGTGCCTCCAATGACTGAGTCAAGGTTTTAGGAAGGGTTATTGGAAGGGCCTGGGTTTTTTTTTTTTTTTTAAGTTTGTAGTCTGATATCTATCCATAATCCTTCGACAGAGAGCGTAGATTGGGGAGTGATATGCACCAAATAGGAAGGTTTAATCATTAGTGAAGATGTTTAGCATCTGGAACTGCTACTTTTGTTTGTGTGAGGCAATAAAAAGACCTAAGTGCCAAGCAGATGTTGTCAGTGCTTACACTTGGGAATGTGAAGACAGAGACCTTTTTACACTTGCAGAATTTAAAGGGATACTATAGTCACCAGAACACCTACAGCTTATTGAATTTGTTCTGGTGAGTAGAATCATGTTTTCTGCTGTAAATACGGTCTTTTCAGAGAATATGCAGTGTTTATATTACAGCCTAGTGATAACTTTAATGGCCACTCCTCAGATAGCTGTTAGAGATCCTTCCTGGGTCATGGCTGCCTAAAATGCATCCAAACATTCAGTATCTCCTCCCTCTGCATGCAGACACTGAACTTTCCTCATAGAGATTCATTGATTCAATTCATCACTATGAGGAGATGCTGACTGGCCAGGGCTGTGTTTGAATCATGCTGGCTCCAACCCTGATCTGCTGCTTTGTCAGTCTCAGCCAATCCTATGAGGAAGCATTGTGATTGGATCAGGCTACCACTTCTGATGATGTCAGCAGGCAGTGGGCAGGTCAAAAGGAAACCGTGACAAAACAAGCAGCTGCAGACTTGAATACAAATACGGTTTTACTATATTTAGAGAGGCATGAGGGGACCAGATGGTGGTTTTAACCTTGTAGGGTCAGGAATACATTGTGTTCCTGACCATATAGTGCTCCTTAAAAGATAAATACATTTTAAATTTCTTGGCAGGTGTAACATCTACATGTAACGTGGAACACAACAACTATGCTGCTGTCGTGGGGAAAGTGGATTATTTAATAGGAAACACTGTTAGTTATTTAATATCTATATTTCCTGTCAAATGTAGATGAAAAGTTGAAGGGGCACTAGGCACCCAGACCACTTTAGCTCATTGAAATTGTCTAGGTGCAGTGTCCTAGCACCCTTAACCCTGAGCAGGTAATTATTTCAGTTTTTAATAAGATGCAATAATTACCTGCTATGATAATTCCTCCTCTAGTGGCTGATTACCAGAGGGACTTCCAGGTGGTTAGGCGACTTTAGGTTGCCTAAATGACGCTGGACATCCTCACGCTAGTCTCACCGGAATCTCCATAATAATGCATTGATGGAGGGTGGGGGTTGCCTTGACAGAGGGGGAAGCTATGGATTCAGAAAAACAAGCTTGTTTTCCAGGCACTATAGTTTCCCTGTAAGCAGTTTTATAATTTTGGGCATTTACTTTGGGAGGGTCCAGAGAGTCCGCATCCCTAAAGTCCAGGAATGCACCCATATGCCATGAATTGTGGCATGCCTATCATGACATGATAAGGCAAATATGTATTCACCGCTCTTCCCTTGTGGTTGTGTTGGGGAAGAGAACCTTCCATTTAGGTTTTTAGTGAATTTTTCTCGAATTTAGGCAAAACTCTGCTACAATCATAGCTTATGTCACAATAATAGGTGATAAGCAGCGCCTGATTGTGAAAATTAGTGACGTGATATAAAATACCCTTATAGTGTGGTATACAGATATATTTATATATACGTACTTTGTTTTTCTAGCTTGTATGTATAATCATTCAATAAATAGCTCCTCAAGAAAAAAAAAAAACACATGTTTGTCTTGCAATCATAGCTTGGCTATTTTTGCCTAATTTATGCCTTTAAAAAAACAAAACACACAACACACACACTATTGTAGTGACAGACACAATTTCATGTTTGTTTTGTTCTTTTCTCCCATTACAGGAGAAGTGCTTGGCTTTGAAAACCTGATATTTAGTATCTTTGAGTTTGTGCACACTTTACTGGAGAACAAATTTAAAGCAACTGTTAAAAAAGCTTTGCCAGAATTAATCTATTACATTATACTCTACATGCAGATCACCGATGAACAGGTGAGATAACAAATGGTAAATCTTTATAGCAAACTGTATAGCTATGGAGATATGTGTATACACATACAGACTTTGTGGGAAGTTAGTATAAATTATATAGGTTTCTATTTATTAAGGGCATATAACCACAGAAAACTTTGTGCCTACAGCAAGATATGTAAAGAAAGATATTATATAATTTGTTTACTTTTACTATATTAAGAATACTCATACTTGTCATCATTTATGTAGTACTTTCACTGTAAGTTTACTTTCTTGATTTTCTATCAGATAAAGGTCTGGACTGCAAATCCCCAGCAGTTTGTTGAGGATGAAGATGATGATACATTTTCCTACACTGTTCGTATTGCAGCTCAGGATCTGCTCTTGGTGAGTTGATGAGTAAAAACAAAGATTTAATGAGTTAGGTGAGGCAGAATAATAGTTTGTATGTAAGTTTTGTTAATATAGTTGGCTTAAATTGGGGTTGCAAGTTGTAAAATAAGTGTGTTTTTTATATTTACATTTTTTTTTTGTTATGAATGTTTTCTTGTTATAGCTTACTTGCTGTGGTATTTTACTTATTTTTTATTTTTTTTAACGTTTCTTTTTTTTTTTTTTTTAGGCATTGTCTAGTGAGTTTCAAAATGAGAGTGCTGCTGCACTTGCTGCTGCAGCTACCCGCCACTTCCACGAGGCAGAACAAAACAAGAACCAGAATGGAGAGCACTGGTAAGTTAGATTTTCTACCTGATAATTGTGTGTGTGTGTGTATGTATGTGTTGTGTGTTTGTGTGTGTGTGTGTGTGTGTATATATGTATTCTTTACATAACCACACTTCAACTGTTTTCACGTCATACACAGTCACTGTTTTTTTTCCAGGGAGAATAGACACCCTACAGGTGTATGCGCAAGTTATTACAAATTTGACACAGTTAAGGAGGAAGTGCAATTGCCTTTTTGCAGTGTCAAAACCAAAGAGGCTGCCTTTATAGCAGCAGCAAGGTTTACATATTACTGCAGTTTTGAACCTTTCAGGAAGGTGGGTGCAGGGTACTATCTGCATTGATATGAAATTATGTTTAATTATAGCCATTCTTAATATTTATATAACAGCTAGCATGATGAAAACAAGAACTCGTGAGGATATAAAGCCTTTAATATTTGCGTTTTATGCATCTGCATTTAACAATTATGTTAAGGTGGATCTATCCCTTTCAGGGATCTTTGCATATTTCACAGTAGCTCTCGCGACTGTTGCCATATTTATCCTACTGTCCTCTTCAGCTCGTGGCACATGGAGGTCTATGTAGGATCTCGCAAGGACTTGAAAGCCTCTATAGCTCAGCCAATAGCCGTCAGTTGTGAAGGCTGCTGGCATTGGACAAAAGTTGATAGAGGAACTCTGCTTTTTGTCACCCTTAGATATATTATAAGGCAAAGTAGTCTCTACTTTGTCTTATAATAGCTTTGCATTGCCTTGGAATTTCGTTGAAATTCTATAGCAGTCTTGATCAGTATTGCATAAAGATTGTATCTTATGGAATACTGAAAAGTGACAGAGCCAATTTAACTGTGTCATTAGAAATAGAATGTGCTGCCGAAACAAAAGTTAGAAATAATAGCTCAACCTTGCACACAAATGCAACATTGTTTTCAGTCTTTAGAGCAGGGTGCCCAAAAGGTAGATCCCCAGATGTTGTAGAACTTCAACTCCCATGATGCTTTGTATTCCTTTGCAATGCGTTTAGAATGGCAAAGCATTATAGAAACTAGTTTAAAATATCTGGGATCTACCTTTTGGGAACCCCTGCTGTAGAGTAATATAGGAGAGATTTCAGTTAGAAATATGTCTTTGTTCCAATGTACGATTTGAAGATGTTACTTTTACACAAATTTCAACTTTCAAACGTATTGGTCTGAACTAAAAATGTTCTCTCCACCACGGAGTATGAAGAAACACTTGTTTTTGTTTCAATACAGCATGAAGTGTCAGGGTGTGTGAATGTAGGTTTTATTTTTTGTCTGATCTCTGTTTGTTTCCTAGGGATGTTTCCTACCTAACCTGATGCATTCACAAATGGCTTTGCTTCATCTAGTTCTGATCATCATAGCACCCTTTTGGTTCACACTGTAGTGATATAACATACATCAGTTTGGTTATTGGGGAGCTATGTTCTGTAAAAGCTGAAACAGCTGTGTGTTGATGTGAAGCTGAGACCTCTACTTTGTTAGTTTACTTTCAACGTAAACATTTGTAATTTGTAATTCTTCACATGGTGGTGTAAGCTAGTACGTTTACAATACTACAATAATATCATATCCAGCTGGTCCATCAGTAAAGAAACAATCCAAACGTTAAGTATTTTTTTTACGTTGTTTTAGTTTGATTTAGAGCCCCCTCCTTTTCACTTACATAAAAAAAAACTCCCCTTTATTCCAGCAGACTATGTACCCTCTCCAAGCCAAATCACCTATTGTAAGATCGTCATTAGTGTCCGCACCAGTGTTTTTCCATGAGATACATAAGGCAAGTGCACCTACGCACCGGTCTCTAAGAGGAAAACCCAACCAAAATCGATTTAATCTATGCAATAACAGGAAAAAAACACATTAAAAAAAAAACTCTTTATTTATAATTGTAGTGCTCATTTTAACCTTTTTGGTGTCTGAGTTGAACAGTGTTGTTCATTGTACACTTGGCTTTAAAAGGTTATTTTTATATATATCTATCTCTCATCACAAAACCACGACCATCAGAACAGATTATATTATTCCTTCAAATTGTAGATTTACATAGCGCTTAATATGGAGTGCAATAATGCATGTTAGGGTTGAGTGGGGTTTAAACATTGCATGACTTGACTTGAGTAGGATATTGGTATTAATGATGTTGCAATACAAGAGGAATACCATAAGACCATTTGGTAGCAAAAAATTTAAGGATCTAGAAAGTCTAATCAAAGGCAATAAGGGGACTGTGCAGAATCTTTGTATAAGGCGTTTTTGCCTCATGGATTAAATTCAAAAGGTCCTGTTGATTTATCATATGTTATGTAATATAACACATTTTGCTTGAATGCAGGTGGAAGATACACGAGGCGAGCATGCTGGCCCTCGGCTCAGTGAAGTCTGCGTTTATAGATGGTGTGCAGAGCGGACAAGTTCAGTTTGATATGGCTGGGTTCTTGACTGGCATTATCCTCTCTGATCTCAATCTATCCGGTGAATATACTTTCACAGGGCTAGGACAATAGAAAGCACTTTACAGATTATTTTTTGTGTAGATGTTTTTTATGCAGTGGTATTTGTATGAAGAATAATTTAAGTCTGCTGCTCTTTTGGTCTTTTTGTGTTTTCTCATTATGTGCTTACATATGTGTATCTTCTTTAGTATCACCTTTTTTGCTGGGTCGCTCTCTCTGGGCTGCAAGTCGGTTCACAGCTGCAATGTCTCCTGAGCTCATCCAGCAGTTTCTTCAAGCTACAGTGAGTGGTCTGCATGAGAACCAGCCTCCCTCTGTTCGTATATCAGCGGTCAGAGCCATTTGGGGGTAAGTACATCTCTCTATCTCAGAATAGGGAGTCAGAACACATATCTCTATCTCTCTATTTTTTTTTATCAAATAATTTTTTGAACTGTATTTGTTCTTTGTTTCAGGTACTGTGATCAGCTAAAGACCTCGGAAAGCACACATGTTTTGCAACCTTTCTTGCCGAGTGTTGTGGATGGCCTTATAAACCTGGCAGCCCAGTTTACTTCGGAGGTGCTGAATCTAGTATTGGAGACGCTGTGCATTGTATGCAGTGTAGACCCAGCTTTTACTTCCAAGACCGAACCCAAAATTTGCCCCTTTGCCATTGCGATCTTCCTCAAATACAGTAATGGTGTGTCTCAAAGGTTCCAATACATGGATAGCTGGTGCTACTGTATCACTATATGGTGACTAACCAACACTTTTTGTGTTCTTAGACCCTGTGGTAGCTTCACTGGCTCAGGACATCTTTAAGGAACTTGCCCAGATTGAGGGATGTCAGACTGCAATGCAGATGAGACTTATTCCCACACTTGTTAGCATCATGCAAGCGCCTGCAGACAAGATTCCTTCAGGTCTTTGTGGTGTAAGTAAATTAATTTGAATAAACTGAACCAGAGTCCAGCCTTTGTAGACAGTGTATACTAGTCACATGTATAGAATGAGCTTTATAGATCAGTTAGCATTGCTATTCTCTCTGGCTTTATGGAAACTGTAACGGACCGTTTTGCACACAAGGGGTAAAAACCGTTTAGGCGATCGGCCCCCTTTCCAGAGATCCAGGCACAGCTACTGCAGAACACCAAAACTCACGAACTGGAAACAAAATAGCACTCCAACTCCCGAACTGGAACCTCCCAAATAGCTGCTAGCAGACGAACAGCTTACACTCCTGGCAATCAGTCTCTAACAGCATACAGTGAATCCCCCCAAGAACGAGACAAGGCTCCGTGTTGAGGTTCAAGCAGTGGTCTGAGGTGCTGGCACACCCAGCCTGGTTTTTATTACAGTGTTTCAAATACAGGACCACCCACAGGGAGGGATAAAACAACCAATCATATCACAGTTACATCCCACATATTCCCTCCCCTTATCCTGAGAGGAAACTCAATTATACAAACAGTTAAAACATACTTTCTACCCAACTTTCATAACTCCAAAACCATACATCACATTCACATAAAATTACATATTCTCAATCAATCCATTCAGGGGAACAACATATTCAAAAATGGCACAAATCAGACAAGGGGTTCAAAAGTTAGTAAAAAGTCCTTTGTGACTAAATGAAGCATGGCTTTCTGGCCCAAACCAGTTTCAGAGTCTTCTATCCTGGAGATAAGTAATTCAATTATCTCCCAGGACAGACACAAGACTCCATTAAGCACATGGTTGCAAAAAGACACAAAACACTTTAAAATACATAGTCACATTTATTACATAAAACACAGACATGTAACATATCCCCAGATAGCTCAGGTCTGAGCGCACATTATTAAGTGAATGGCGCTCAGACCACACGAATACAGTTTAATCGCCATGGAGCCAAAGTCTTTACAGTCAGTTTCATACAAATGGGCTCCATGGGATTCCTATCTGGGGTATAACACATTCAAACAAATCTACTGAACCCCAGGCAGAAAAGCACGAATACAGCTTTTCTGCAGGCAAAAATAAAGTCTTTTAAAAGGGGGCCATAGTCCAAAGGCAGCAGGCGAGCAACCAGGCTTCTCCAATGCAATGTGGCGAGATTGGTCTCGTCACATCTCTCCCCTTTTCCAAACAGACTAACAGGGTATCTGACCTCCTGCCGGTCAGTGCCCTTGTTAGTCCAGCAGCCCACCCACAAAACATAATCAACAGCACAGCCCACCCACAATAAATGGTTACTACACCTGGGTAAAGGAGAAGCTTGTCCATGTCCAGGTGCCTCACCACGGCTGTGCTGGGTACGGGTACGCTGACTGGGTGGGTTGCTGCGTGGGCAGAGACCAGCGGCACTCTGCCCTGTTGCCAGCACTACTGGGAGGGTAGCCTGGTTGAAGCCTGGTTGTTGGAGGGGGAGACCGACTGTCTCCCCTTTAACTACACCGCTCTGCTGCTGGAGACCGACTGTCTCCCCTTTAGATACACCGCTCTGCTGCTGGAGACAGACTGTCTCCCCTTTTGTTGCACAGCTCTGCTGACGGAGGGGGAGACCGACTGTCTCCCCTTTGGATACTCTAAGATGTCGCTGGGGAGAGGGGGTAACAGGCTCCTCTCCCGATAGAACACTCTGCCGCTGGGGAAAGGAGACTGAGCTCTCTATTCCCTGCCCATTAATGATCCACCGCTGGGGAGAGGTGGTAGCAAGCTCCTCTCCCATACATACTTTCATCCTCTGTGGAGGGAGACCGACTGTCTCCGCTCCCAATACAGTGTCCTGCTGCTGGGGAAAGGAGACTGGGCTCTCTATTCCCTGGTAGGACACTCTGCCGCTGGGGAATGGAGACTGGGCTCCCAATTCCCTGCATATCACACTGCCGCTGGGGAATGGAGACTGGGCTCCCAATTCCCTGCAGGACCGGTGGAGAGACCTCGGTCCCATCTCTACCGGCCACCTGGGGTTCTTCCCAGTAAAACCGTACCATCTCGTCCCCTCTGAATGGGTCTGGCTCTGGGTCTGTCATGCTGCTCTCCCGCTGAGCCTTCTCACTGTATTGGAACAGCTGCTGGTAGCCCTGTTCTAGCTCCATCTCCCGGGTTACCAGGTGGACCAGGTCTTGCTCAATTTCGTGAGTGTCGTCCCAGTCATACCTGCTCTCCCTCCACTCCAAGAGATCACTGAACCGGGCTTGTGTAGGGCTCCCAAATTCGAGCTCTGAAAATGACTCCCATAACAAGCCAGGACCATCAAACTCCTCTCCCTCTGGCTTGTCATGCTCGGCTGTCCAGGGTAGGTACTGTGCCCCATACCACCAGAGCGCCTGGTAGGCATCTTCTAGCCACAACTCCTGCCATACTAGGTGTTCCAATTTCCTCACCCATTCCTCCAGGGGCTGCTCTCCCAGGAAGGGCATCCGCAGGGCTACTCGCTTCTGCAACCGCTGGTCTTCCTTGGGGAGTCTCTTGCCCCGCTGGTACTCCACAATACCCAGTGCCTGGTACCAGATGCCTTTACGGACTGCATCTCGGTCATCCATGGCACCCTCGTCATACTCCACTGCTGGTTCCATGCTGGTGCTGTCAGGGTCGCTGTACTGGGACATGCGTTGCCCTCAAATTGTAAAATCCAAAGAAATGGTGTCTCCTGTAGCTGTCCTTCTGGCTGTAGGAACGATCCCGCCGCTTGCCACCAATTGTAACGGACCGTTTTGCACACAAGGGGTAAAAACCGTTTAGGCGATCGGCCCCCTTTCCAGAGATACAGGCACAGCTACTGCAGAACACCAAAACTCACGAACTGGATACAAAATAGCACTCCAACTCCCGAACTGGAACCTCCCAAATAGCTGCTAGCAGACGAACAGGAAAAGCAGACGAACAGCTTACACTCCTGGCAAATCAGTCTCTAACAGCATACAGTGAATCCCCCCAAGAACGAGACAAGGCTCCGTGTTGAGGTTCAAGCAGTGGTCTGAGGTGCTGGCACACCCAGCCTGGTTTTTATTACAGTGTTTCAAATACAGGACCACCCACAGGGAGGGATAAAACAACCAATCATATCACAGTTACATCCCACATATTCCCTCCCCTTATCCTGAGAGGAAACTCAATTATACAAACAGTTAAAACATACTTTCTACCCAACTTTCATAACTCCAAAACCATACATCACATTCACATAAAATTACATATTCTCAATCAATCCATTCAGGGGAACAACATATTCAAAAATGGCACAAATCAGACAAGGGGTTCAAAAGTTAGTAAAAAGTCCTTTGTGACTAAATGAAGCATGGCTTTCTGGCCCAAACCAGTTTCAGAGTCTTCTATCCTGGAGATAAGTAATTCAATTATCTCCCAGGATAGACACAAGACTCCATAAAGCACATGGTTGCAAAAAGACACAAAACACTTTAAAATACATAAAGTCACATTTATTACATAAAACACAGACATGTAACATATCCCCAGATAGCTCAGGTCTGAGCGCACATTATTAAGTGAATGGCGCTCAGACCACACGAATACAGTTTGCTGTTTGCTAGCAGAATGTAAATTTACTACAATTATGATACAATACAAAACTACAACATATTACTTACAAAAGGTTGCTAAATGTTACACAAAAGGCTATTACAATTGCTAAATGTTCATTTTACTTACAAGGCCCCAGCCCTTTGGCTGGGGTTAAGTCAGAGCTGGTACTACATCTTAGGTTCAGTCAGTTACAGGCAAAGGGACAGAGTTTTCTCCTCCATCTGGTTTTATTCAGTGTAAGTAGGCTGGCCTGTGATGTCACTGCCAGAAGCACAGGTCTTCCTACACACTCCCCCTAGTGGTGCCCCCAACCCTGGGCAGCGGGGGGGGGCCATAGTGAGAATGAGGGGGGGCAGTAGGATTTCAAGCCATCCAATCACAGTGCTCTGTGTCATTTTACACAGCGTGGGAAAATTCAAAAGAACTTTCCCACGCTGTGTAAAATGACACAGAGCACTGTGATTGGATGGATTTCAAGCCATCCAATCACAGTGCTGTGTCATTTTACACAGCGTGGGAAAATTCCCGCCCCCCCCTCATTATTGCCCCCACCCGCCGCCCGGGGGGGGGGGGCAGTAGGTCATTTGGTCTCCCCCCTTATTTTCCTTTAGGGCCCCCACCCGTCGTTTAGGGGTGGGGGCCAATAGTTTTTTTTACAGTGAGCAGCCACAGGCTGCTCACTGTTTACAAGACATGCCCCTACTCGCAGTATAGCGAGTAGGGGCAAATTACTTACTAATACTAAGTAATTTTTACTTGGTATTAGTAAAGTTGGCTGAAAGACCAATTTAGGTCTTTCAGCCTTTTAGTAGATAGCTCCCTGATCCCGTGGGAATTAGGGAGTTATCTACTAAGCGGCTGCAAGATGCAGCCACAGCAATGAATAGGATCAGAGTTTCATTCATTCGAATGAAATTCTGATCCGAATAAAGTGCGGAATTGCATTCTAAAAGAAACGAACATACTGTTGTCATTCAGTTAGAACGCAATTCGGCAGTTTTGTGTAAAATGACAGGAAGCATTGTGGGAACACTGAGGAAAGCTAGGGATCATGGGAAAATTGCTCTGACCAGCGGAAATTAAGCACACTTTGCTCCTCCGCTGGTCAGAGCTGGTCAAGCGGAGGAATTCCCCATAAGGCAAAGAGTCCCTACTTTGTCTTATGATTTTAAAGAAAACTAAAGAAGACAGGAAGAAAAGAATAACAGATCCTGAGAGAGGGGGAGAAGAGGAAGAGATTGAGGAAAGGTAAGTTCGGCATGACAGTGCCGCTTTAAAATAGGTGCCCAAAACTGCACCAAGTATTTAAAGTGAGGTCTTGATACCCTTTTAATAGACTACAATACATCACTGACCTTGGCAAATGCTAAGTGACATTACACATTGTTGCTTAGTCTGTTGTCTATTACTATTACTATTCCCATGTCCTTCTCTTTTGTTTTTCATTTGCTCATTTTGGGTGTTTGTAAATTCACCTACAGATTTTTTTTGATTTTTTTTTGTTTGGTCTTTCTGTTGCTTTCTGCTAGCAGCAGACCCTAACCTGGAACTTAATTTGTATTTATTTTTGGTTTAGGATTCTAAACTCATCATGCAGATTACATTTGTCTTAACGGAAAGTAAGGTTTCTAGTGCAGATTCGGGTCTTGTTCTTAACCGATTCTAAAACCTTTTTCTCCCTTAGACTTCCATTGACATTTTGACCACAGTTGTGAGAAATACAAAGCCACCCCTTTCTGAACTGCTGATTTGCCAGGCCTTTCCTGCTGTTGCTCAGTGCACTCTTCGCACAGATGATAATACAATAATGCAGGTATGCTTTTTATTTATTTATTTTTTTATACTTAAAAAAAGGTCTGTCATATTTGATTTTTTTTTTTACATGCATCCTCTGCTGAAAAACTTGATTGATTTAAAGAGGCTCTCCACTGCCCAAATCCCCCCCAAAAAATAAATTTAGTAGATCTATTATCAATGAAAACATGCACACATTTATTTAAGCATTTTTTCTTCTTAGTGGGTATATCTAAAAACAACTTGCAAAGCTGCATATCTCTTGCCCTCGGCTTCTAACCCCACAAAGATTTTCTGTGGCTGCCCAATCAGACTTCCTAATGCAGCTCAATGAGAAGTCCTGGCAAGGCAGGTGCTCTGAACAATTTCCTGTCTTTTGAGGTTTGCTCAACTGAGCTGAACCAGGAAATAACAGGACCAGTTCCTGACAGCCAGGGGGTCTAACAAGGTTAATTTATAAAGGTGCCCAATCCTATTGAAATCTGCACTTTTTGTAATATGTAAAATACATACTCTTCACACGCATACTTTGTCAAGTTGAGGTGCTTTTGGGATCTGGGATGTCCATTTAGTAACAAACTAGTAACGATTCAGCATAACGTTTATGTGTATTAATATGTCTATTCATTCTCTATACAGAATGGTGGAGAGTGTTTGCGTGCTTATGTATCAGTTGCCCTGGAGCAGATTGCTCAGTGGCAAGATGAGCATGGGCACAGTGGACTTTGGTATGTGATGCAAGTAGTTGGCCAGTTACTGGATCCTCGCACTTCTGAATTCACTGCAGCATTTGTTGGACGTCTGGTGTCTACTCTTATCTCCAAGGCTGGACGAGAGCTGGGTGAAAATCTGGACCAGATCCTGAGAGCCATCCTCAGCAAGATGCAGCAGGCAGAAACTCTAAGTGTCATGCAGGTAACTTACCTTAACTTTCCCTGTCATGAAAATGAGATAAAAGACACATTGTTGGTGAGAGGGGCAGTGTTTACCTGGCTTTTACAAACTTTTACTACACTATACTATTTAATGTATATGATGTTCTTCTCTGTGTTCTGTGCACAATATACTTACGGACTCCTGGCTTTCTGCATACTGTTCTCATGTATATTATGGTCTCTCCTCAGTCTTTGATCATGGTGTTTGCACACCTTGCACATTCACAACTGGAGCCCCTGCTTGACTTTCTTTGTAGTCTTCCTGGCCCCACTGGGAAACCTGCCCTGGAGTTTGTCATGTCAGAGTGGATGAGTCGCCAACACTTGTTCTACGGGCAGTATGAAGGCAAAGTTAGGTGAGACAATATACGGTATTGAAGATTTTTTGACTTTGCTAGTGCATTTCTTGAAGAGCAGAAGGAGTGTGGTAGAAATGTTGAGTACAGAACCCATCTGAAGAAATTGGATTGTTGTGGTTTACATCGCATGTAGTTAGTGTTGATTTAACCCCTTAACGTCGTTACGGCGTTCTATGCTGTCCCGCATTAAAAGGGCTTTAAAGCCGTTGCGGCGGCATAGAACGCCGTAACAGCTTGCAGCCGGTGGACTTACCTCTGCTGCAATCCTCTTCTGGAGGGCTGCCTGGCAGCCCTCCCCCGGCAAATGAGGCCCTTGGGGGCCATGTGATCGCTCTTTATGACTGTGGGTCTGCCAGCAGGGGGACTGTCTGAAATGTCAGACAGTCCCCCTGCTGGTGGGAAAGTAAAAAAAAAAAAATTAAACATGTGTAAAATTAAAATAAATGTATTTTTATATATATATAATATATAGTGTTTGTGGCTACTAAGAAAGACTAAACATACCCCACTTTCAATACCTTGCATTTTCTTTTTTTTGCAGTAAAACCTAACAGTATTATGACATTCACAGCTAAAATGTCAGACGGAAATAAAAAGTAAAAAAAAAAGTATTTTCTCACTTTTTTTTAGATTTTATTCATAATAAATTATGGTCCATATATGAATAGTTAATGATAAATTAAAGCCCTGTTTCTCCTGAACAAAATGATATATAATAAGTGTGGGTGCACTTAATGTGACAGCGGTGAATTACGGTTGAACAGACATATAGCGCAAATTCCAGTTTTTGTTTACGTTTTGTTTTGATCAGAATGTGTACTATTGACTCCGTCCTGAAGGGGTTAACAATTACATGTGTATTCTTCAGGTACAACCTGATAATTAAAGGACCACTATAGTGCCTGGAAAACACTCGTTGGCCCTCATGGCCCCCCTTCCCGCCCGGCTCTGGGGAGAGGAAAGGGTTAAAACTTACCTTTTTTCCAGCGCCGGATGGGGAGCTCTCCTCCTCCTCTCCGCCTCCGATCCTCCCCTTCGGCTAAATGCGCACGCGCGGCAAGAGCTGCGCGCGCATTCAGCCGGTCTCATAGGAAAACATTCATAATGCTTTCCTATGGACGCTTGCGTGTTCTCACTGTGATTTTCACAGCGAGAATCACGCAAGCAGCTGTCAATGAGACAGCCACTAGAGGCTTTAGAGGCTGGATTAACCCATTTATAGACATAGCAGTTTCTTTGAAACTGCTTTGTTTATTAAAAAAAAGGGGTTAAATCTAGAGGGACCTGGCACCCAGACCACTTCATTAAGGTGAAGTGGTCTGGGTGCCTAGAGTGGTCCTTTAAAAGTGGTGTGTTTACTGATGTCCACTGTCCTGCTCAAGCCAGTAAATGCTATTAAAGCAAGGGAGCCAACTGTCACTTTCAGAAGTAACCATTCAGCATCAATGTTGGCAGAAGATAATGATACCACTCACCATTGATGAAAAAAAATTAAAAATGTTTTTATTATGTAGGAATACTGTGACAAAATGTAATGTTGTTCCTGCTGTTCCTCTCCAGTTCCATAGCATTGTGTAAGATCCTGCTGTATGGTATTACAATGGATGACAAGAGGCTTAATGATATAAAGGTTAAAGGGGAAGAAATTTTTAACTTGGAGGAGGGAATACGCACCAGATCAAAGGCTGCCAAAAGTAAGTACTACTTAATATTAAGGCACAAGCTTCATTTTTAACTTAAAGGGACACACCAGGCGCCCTTAACAACTTCCTCTAAATTAAGTTGTTATGGTGCCAGGAGGCCCCCCAGAGGCATCCTTGCCTCAAGGGGTTAAACCGTTTCCAAATGGTTGTACCTCAAAATTGCTTCTATTGTCAAAGTCCACTTGTCTTTCCCCCCCTACCCCCTATGGGTTTCTAAATTTTGAGATTCGGGTAGCTCGGAGTGCTGCCACGCAGCGGTGCCACTGATTGGTTTTAAGGAATCTTCAGATTTCGTTGTAATTTCAAGGAAATTCCAACACAGTAGTCAGCGTTAGTATTTCATAAAGATTATATTTTTATGAAATACTGAGTAATGACAGACACTTTAAGCAGGTATACTCGTGGTTTTGATGCATCATGTAGGTCATCCTAGGTGCAGATAACATGTCAGTGTTTGTGTTTCAAAGAACATTATAGTGTTAGGAATGCAAAACTGAATTTGTAACACTATAGAGTCCCTCTGCTACCTCTCCTCCTCCGCACACATTAGGCGTTTCCCAAAGGAAATGCCTAATAGGAATGCTTTCCTCAGGGGATTTAGACGCTGGATGTCCTCTTTCGAAGCGTGAGGATATCCATCATTGTTTCACAGAGTCAACTGCAGCAAGTGCCTCTAGAGGCAGTCTTAATATTGCAATGTAAACATGTTTGGAGCTTCTGTGCTAAAATGTCAGGGACACTGCACCCAATGAGATGAAGTGGTCTGGGTGCCTATAGTATCAGTTTAATGTTTGATATTTTTTTATGAATTTTTGGCTTTTTACTGTATTTTTATTGTACTTTTAGATCCAGAACGGTGGACAACAATACCCCTTCTTGTTAAGATATATAAACTAATTATAAATGAGTTGTCCAGTATTATGGAAGCCAATATTAACCGTCATACAGACGAGGAGTGGGTTCAAGGGAATGGTGGTAAGTATCACTCCTATAACATTATGAAATGTCCTTTATCAGTCTAGATGTTAAGACTTATTTTATTTCTGCCATCACTTGTTTTTACCTGAACTTGATGGTTTCCCTAGATAATCCCAGTGATATGTGGGAAGATCAGGATGATGATGACGATGAAGGCTTAGCAGGGCAGCTGTTATCAGACATCCTTTCCAGCAATAAATATGGTAAGAATGCATATATTCAGTTTTGTAAAGTTGCACAGTGCAGGTGGGTTTTCTTTTAATACATGTAGGTACCTGCAACAGAGTTATCTAATTTCCCTACAAATTACTTACTAGTTCAGTATTAATTTTTGAAGGTTCCATAATGGCTTACAAGTTAGGATTTATTTTTTTTTTGAATTCTTTATTTTTGACAGTGCAGCAGGGAGTATACAAATTGCAGCAGTATACACAGATATATTTCTGTAATAGACAATTGGCAAGCATAAAAGGTCATGCATACTGCACTGTTGTTTTTAATTTAAAGGCAAAGTATACATAGAATACATCAATTGTATGGCATTCCCAGCCCATATTGCAACGTCAATCAAGTATTGTTGTGTACGGCATGTGTCTGATCAAAAAAGTTGGCAAGAACAAGTTAGGATCTTTTATGGACAACACTATGTGTTTTGTGTTTATGTAAGGTAATTAACATTTACGCAAACTGTTTCATGATAATAAACCTATCTGTAAATAATATATATTTTTTGGGTTTATAATAGGTGATTATCTTGCACAGAGGGGATATCTTTATGGAACCCTAGACTCCAGAATAGATCAAATATCAAGATTATACGTGTTGGGTTTTAATGGAACAGATAGCAGCCAGTTGATAGTGCCTAAGAAGAGATTTTATGATTATATAATATGTCACATGTTGGTGAACAAATTTGCACTTAAGGTGCTGGTGTCAAGAATGAACAGAGTATTTATTTATTTTTTATTTTATATATGTATGTTTATAGACCATTTTACAAATCTGCATGTAGAAAATTTCAGGTAGAGAACAAGTACAAGAAATACAAGAAAATATATATTAGGCACTCACAAACCCTACCATAGGATGGATCCTAGACTTCCATGCCTAGAATGTTGTAATGGTGGAATCTTATAATTAAACCCTCTAGTCAATAGGATAAATAACTGTGATGTACCATGTATAATGATAGACTTTGAATTGTTCATTTAGTAAAGTAGCAGTCAATCTGGCAGTATAATAGCCAGGTGATATAAGAGAATAAGGAACAAAGAGTCAGATGTGGTGTTATAAGAAAAGAAAAGTTTAAAAAAAAAAAAAAAAGTGGGGGGAGAATGAAAACCGTGCTGGAAAAAGGGGTTCCACACCATGGAAGTAAAATACCTATCATGTTCCAGACCCCTACTCTTTACAAGACAACATTTACCCCTTATAGACAGAGGTAATTGTCCAATTTCTGAACAAAAGCAAAGCTAATATTTGTGCTATGTGTTTTTCCCCATAATTAAGGGTTTCTCTTTAATTGCCTCCATAGTTGTTGTTATAGTGTTTTTTTTGGTTTTTCTTTGGGTTTTCTAGGACCTAAAAGGTTTTCATTTAATAGTGTGTGTGTGTGTGTGTGTGTGTGTGTATGTATATGTATGTATATATATATGTATATGTATGTGTGTGTGTATATATATATATATATATATATATATATATATATATATATATATATATATATATATATATATATATATATATATATATATATATATATATATATATATATATATATATATACACACACACATATATAAGAGATGCACTCTCAGGTCTTTGTAGAAAAAAAAACTCGATATTATTTAATAACCAGTAACCTACATCTGATCGACGTTTCGACCTCTTCAGGTCTTCCTCAAGATAATTTGTGTTAGGTGCTCATGATAGTACAGAGTAAAATACCATAATTAAATGTAGGATAGTAAAAAGGGCAAGCAAGTCGGTTGTGGTGTGCCGGAACAGACGATGAGGTAGGCCTGAGAAAGAAGAGGGGCCTACCCAGGAAAAAGAAATAGAAAGGAAATAAATGTTGAAATGTGGTGTGGTGGGAGGGTAATTCAACGCTGACCTCGAACGGTAAGGAGCAAGGTAAGGGGTGTGCCTTAAGTAGGCTAGGAGTGGATACCAAGCACCTCCCACAAATCCAGGCAAATTTCCTTAATACTTGTGTTAGGTGCTCATGATAGTACAGAGTAAAATACCATAATTAAATGTAGGATAGTAAAAAGGGCAAGTCGGTTGTGGTTTGCCGGAACAGACGATGAGGTAAGCCTGAGAAAGAAGAGGGCAAAAATTAAGTAACCAAATTTATTACAGACAACCAATACAGATACATATATCAACCAGACATGTTTTTGAAAGCATCCCTTAATTATTGTACTGGGTTCGATATGTATCGTTAGTAAGCGGATGACTTCCAGCGCCCCAGTGTTTTTATAACATGGACTGGAATGTTGACACTGGAGGATGTGGACGCTGCTCCTGTGCGGAAGGAGTGCCCTGAGTAGTTAGCTGCTTTGAGGCCCAGTTGAGTGAGCAAAGACCTGACGTAGGTCATGAAGGTTTTAGTGGTGAGTACCGAACTTTGTAATAGTAGTAATGGTTGTGATGGTATTGAAATATGATGCTGTAGGTATGCATCCAGAACCTTGACGGGGCACCACTTGTTGTGCGTGGGGTAGTATGGAATGTTTACTGGTATGTGCTGGCTGGTTTTGGAGTGAGGTAGCGTTAGGATGTAATGATCCATGTGTTTTGTTAAGTGGGAATAGAGGAGAAGGAGCAGATTGTGTTATGTTGGTTGTAGTAAACTCTCTAGGTCTTAGAAATCCATAGAAAGCTATGTATATTGCTGCTTTGATGACAGAATTTGTATTGGTGTCAAAAGGTTTTAAATCAAGCAGGTTAGATAATGCCTTGAAGATATGGTTATCTATGGGTAGCCTCTGTGATGTAAGTGTGGGTTCAGATTTCTGAATGCCTCTGAGTATGGTCTTGATCTGGTGAGAGGCCATGAAACTAGTGTTGTTAGGTTGTAAGATTAGCATATGGTGTTGAATGCCTGTGAGATAAAGTTTGATGGTGTTATATGACATTTTAAGTTTAAGGTGGCAAAAAGAAGCAAAACCCAAAAAAGATGTCATAACAAACGGTTGCATGATGTTATGTTCCAAAAGGAATCTTTTGAATAGTGTAAAAGCCCTGTCGTATGTTTTGTGTGTATTCTTTGACAGTGCCAATTGGGACAGTGTCCTGCTATGATGCATGATGTCTCTTCCAGTATTAGTTGTTGAAATTTTGGAGTGGTAGTGGCTGTGAGCGCAGCTGATGAGAGTGCTTGATGAAATGCCTGAAATTTAAAACGAGACAAACTGTCAGCAGCTGTGTTACATATTCTCTGGCCCCTCCGTTTTCTTAGGGGAGATCGGTACACCTAGTTGCTCGATTAGCTTAGTGGTAGCTTTGAGGCTACTAGGAGGGGAAGTATTTTCCTCGACCAGTAAGTCGTCGTCCAGGTAATGTAATACCGTAGGGCATGTTCAATAGTAACCAGCACAATGCTTCAGCAAATGTGTCGAAAATAGCTGGTCTACTTTTGGACCCAAAAGTTAAACGGGAGAAAAAAAATAGTAGTTCCCGGCCCACTTGATTCCATGCAGGTGCCACAGTGTGGGGTGGATTGGTAGCAATTTAAAGGCGTTAGTGATATCGGTCTTACTAAGCCTGGCTCCGACCCCTGCTTGTATGATTGCTGTAATGGCGTGATCTATGGTGGTGTATTGCAGGGAGAATTCCTCGGAGGGTATGAGGGAATTAAGACTGGGGTTGGCCGATGAGTGTGGTGCAGACAAGTCAATGATGAGTCACTGTTTAAGGGAAGATTTCCCTGTGACAATACCAATGGGGTTAGTACGCCATTCTTTGAATGGAGGAGCTTTGAAAGGCCCCAATACGAAACCCTCAGCGACTTCTTGGGCTAAGAGTATCAAAAACTGTGGGATTATGTTGTGCGGATTGTAGATTAGGGCATTCCAGAGCCCCGGATGGTATGTGTAGAATACCTGTATGGAAGCCTTCTGTTAAACCCGAGATAAGAAAGTCCACCAAGTGTTTAGACGGGTGATGTGACATAAATGCAGTAAACACCGGCATATTAATGGACGTGAGGTAAGGCTTAAATACATTTTATTTGGACACATGGTTTTTGCATGTGCCCTAAAACATTTTAAACAGATATGCAATCTGCAACCGCTATAATTACAAGACCCAACATTGAAATTATTACATATCTGGGACTTGCCCAGGAACTTGATCGGGCGTCCCAGTTTGTCTCTGGTCACTTTCTCTGGGACACCAGAGGAACTAGCTCCTTGCGTGGAGGCATGTTCATCAGCCATGTTGGGACAGAAGTTTGTCGTATGGGCTGCAGAGGAGCAGTATGCACAAGCCGGTGTTCTCAGACCTGCAAAGTGTCTGCAAAATATGACGGGATCTATCCTTCCCCAGTAGGATCTTGTTCCATACTGGGAGAACGCTCCAGACACTTTTGCAGAAAAAGACCTATGGTAGTCATAAAAGGCTGAACCACCATATTTATTGCCCAGGTCTACCTGCTTGTGCATATAAATATCAAACTCCCCTCTTCTATTGGGATAGACCGCACAGATGACATCCCGGTAAATACCAAAGGCCAGTACAAACTCGGGGATAGTCAGTTTCCTGTTTAGGCGGGCGTCCCTAGATCTGACAACAACAGACACATCATCATAAGCATAAGTCTTATTTTCCACAATATCCTGGGAGGCAATCAGCAGGGAAGCTAGGTTGACGTCTTTACCTTCCAGGATATCTCTTTTTACGTGCTCAGGGATCATATGAGCAGGGCTAACTTCCTGGTCATCCGAGGTGATGGTTGGAGGAACCAATAGCAAGTCGGCTGGTGCTTGTGAAGCAGCAGCGGGTGGCCCTGCTAGAGTAAGGGCCGTGGTGACCAACTCTAGTTTCTCCAACTTGAAGTTGACCTTGCTCATGGACGTCATGAGTGAGGATAACATGGAGTGTATGTCTCCTGGGTTGGACTGGCTAGGTCCTTCACTGGGATCCATGTTATTTGATGTACGTAGTAGTTTAAAAAGTTCTGCTTTCCTTGCTGTAGCGGGGTAGGGGATTTGTCGTCTCCTTAATTCGGTAGTTATACGAGGGATCGTCCAGGATCTGATCGATGCCGGACTATTTACCTCTCCTCCTTGTGTAGGAGTGATAGCTCTAGCCAGAGTGCTATATTGTAACCAAAGACTGCAAACTAAAATTTTCCCTGATACATGCATTCCGCTGTCTTCTATGGCTGTTTTAGGAAATAATCACTTCTATTTTGGAAAAAGATTTGTGCAGGTGGGGGGATTGTTTTTTTGTGTTTTAATGGAACTGTAGGCACCATAATCACATCAACAGATGGTAGTGGTTATTGCGCTTGAATCAGTGGGTCCCGGGTTCAGCAACACTACTAAATAGATTCCTCACCGCTTCTGAGTGTGCGGCAGCATATTTTGCTGTATTCTTTTAATTAGAGAACTTATTACCCCTGGTGTTTGTGGATCACTAGCTTTGAATCTGCACCACTTTCTTTATCTAGTTTTCTTCACTTGCTCTAGTTATTCTCTACCCACCAGTCAAACAATGCTATGCATACTTTAAATTTTCCATTCATCTCTACATCCTCCTTCCTACAACTTGGTACTCGATCTTTAGCTTCTTCTTTCTTCACTCATAGTACTACACAATACATAGTTACATAGCTGAAAAGAGACTTGCGTCCATCTAGTTCAGCCTGCCTCACATATGTTTTTGCCGTTGATCCAAAAGAAGGCAAAAAACCCAGTCTGAAACGCTTTCAAATTTTGCCACAAACTAGGAAAAACAAATTCCTTCTTGACCCCAAAATGGCAGTCAGATATCTCCTTGGATCAAGCAGCTATTACCCTACTAATTAGAAATTATATCCCTGTATGTTATGTTTTTGCAAGTATTTATCCAATTTTAGTTTAAACATCTGTATGGAATCTGATTAAACCACCTCTTCAGGCAGAGAATTCTATATCCTTATAGTTCTTACTGTAAAAAACAAAACCTTTTCTTTGACTTAGATTAAAGGATCACTATAGAGTCGGGAAAACAAACATGTATTCCTGACCCTATTGTGCTAAACCCACCATATAGGTGGCTTCCCCCTCCCTCAGGCCCCCTATAAAAATTTAAAACTCCCCTTATTTCCAGCGCCGTGCGGGTCTGCCGATGATGGCTCCTCCCCCTTTGTGACATTTTCAAAATCGCTGATTGTTAGCCAATCCAATGCTTTCCTATAGGAAAAGCATTGGATTTGCATGGGGGCGGGGCCAAATGTGATTTTGGCCAATCAGGACCTCCTCATAGAGATGTAAATTGTAATTAATAAAATGACTATAAATACGTAAAAATATTACATAAATATATATGTAGCGTGTGTATATATAATTTTTTTGTGTGTGTGTGTGTGTGTGTATATATATATATATATTTTTTTTTTTTCGTTTTAAGTGTATTTTGATATCCATATATATTAATATCAAAATACAGTTAGAACGAAAGTACACGTGTGTGTGTGTGTATATATTTTTTTATTTTATTTTTTTCATTAACGTATTTATATCATATAATTTTATATATATGTATTTAGATTTCATATTAAAATACACTTGGACTGTGTGTGTGTGTGTATATATGTTTTAAAACTATATTTAACTTTTTCAGGCAGCAGGGGGACCTGTCATTCCAGGCACTCCCCCGTCTGGCACTGCTATGGTCGGCTATTCAGTGCATGTGATCGTGAGGTCCTCGCAAGGACCTCTCGATCACATGGCCCAGGAGGGCCGATTCAGCAGCAGGGGGTCTTCCTGAGATGCCAGGTAAGTGGCCAGGACAGCGTAGACGTGCTATGCCGTCCACCGGCGTTTAGAGCCGGGTCCCCAAGGACGGAATAGCACGCCCGCCATCCTTAAGGGGTTAATAAAACTATACATTTTATGGAAGTTTCTTGTCCAAAGAGTACGGCTATTTTTCAGTGTATAGTACTAATTTAAATATTAGGAGGTACGACTTTTACTCGATTTGTCAAACTATGCCTTACTGTACAATTAAAACCACGATCTAGATCTCTCAATACTTGAGTTAATTTGTCATGATATGCCACTTGCATGCTGGCGTGCACAAATAATAGGTGTTGCAAGTTTTTTATATAGAAGTCTTACTTTTCCCGTGCACATTAAAATGTATTTAATGGTTAGTAAATGCCTCTGCTATTGCATGTTTTGCTGACCTATTTAACTTGAATTGGTATGTCATTTTGTCTGGCAGATGAAGACTATTATGAAGATGATGAAGAGGATGACCCTGATGTGTTGAAGGATCCTCTCTACCAGATTGATTTGCAGGTGAGAACAAAAATCTCATATGACTTTATTTGACTATTCAGGACTGATGTAGCCATTCAGAGCTATTACTGTGTTTGTAGGCCTTGTAAGTGTGTGTGTGTAATTGTTTAATTTTTTTAAAATGTATTTATCTTTAATTAAATGCTAACTCCAAACACCATGCCCACCCACTTCAGAGATTTGAAGTAGTCATGGAGCCTGTATGTGCAGAGGTTTTTAGTAGGAAATGCTGCACTTATGGAGACTATCCCCCTGTGGCTGGAGGTGTAACAGGAGTTCCAGGATGGTTAACACCAATTCTGTGCCAAATAGTTATCACACTAGCATGGACAGCATATTGACACCATGAAGCCAATGTCTGGCTTCCCTCCTTTTTTCAGCCAAGAAGGATCACACTGAGGTGGTACTAAGGGTAAATTTAAGCTTTTTTTTTGTTGTTGTTGTTTCTCTTGTTGCGGGGGGACATCAGTGTTTTATAAAAAAAACATTTGTATCATTCTGTCTGCTCATAATTTTTTTTTTTTCACCTTTTAGACTTATTTAACAGAATTTCTGCAGCAGTTTGCTCAGCAGCCATGTTTCTCTGCATTCTCTAATCATCTTAATGACAATGAGCGACGTATTCTCCAATCAATTGGGATCTGAGATTAGAACTGTTCAGCGATCTGGATGTACTCTGTAACAACCCGTGACCAAAGCAGGTGCCATTGGAAAGAGGGGAAAAAAAAACAAAAAGCATTGAACTTTGTTGTGGCATCTTTTGAGAAAGTTTTGATGTTCAAAAGTGACTGAAACAGTGGAGCCTAATGTGACTTTGTACAGTTGGTTCTAATGTACTGTGAACTCAGTTGGAACTTTTATTAATCCATTATTTTTCTCCTGAAGTTGGTCCTGTGGTCGTTTGAGTTCAGTGCAGTTTTTGCAAGGTATCTATTTCACACTAACTTTAAGGGACATTATCTACGCTTGTGCGTAAAGATATAATGCCCAGTTTTCAGAGTAGAATAAGGTTGTAAATACTTTTAGCAAGTTACACCTTCCCTTTGACAACATTAGTATAAAATTATTGGTGATACTGTGACATTTCTCCTAGTTCTTATTCAATGTTTCTCACATTTACCATACCAGCTCAAATAAAATTTAACAGTGCCTTGTCTAGTGATGCAGTATTAACACGATAGACCAACCTGGTAGAGCAGGTACCAGAAATGAAAATCCGTTTACTATTGAGCCCGATCTAGATTTCACTTGAGAAATATGCAACAAATGCAAATGTCGTCGGACGGAAAAATGCTGAAGAAAGAGCAACTCCTTCATCCTGCCTTTTTGGACTGTTAACTATCCTGTTGTCACCTGGGCATTCAGTGTGTTTAGGGGAATAGGCAAATGTCTAGGTGCACATGAAATGCACATATCTAGTTTATTAACTAAATGTGTGTTCACATGCTCAGGACTTGACTGATATAACTGTATGATTAAAGTAAACATTCATGAAATGTGGGGTCAATGCCAAAGATCTGGGCTTCACCTCAAATGGCTCTTGGATTTTAAAAGAAAAGAAAATTGGATCTTAAATGCATTTTGTTTTGATTAATTGTAGGTCACTGCAATAGGTGATTTGGAAAAAAACAAAACGAAATTGCTTATCTTAGTGCCACATACATGTGCTGTCACAATACGTATGTTTCCATGCAAAAGAAGGGATAACTAGAAGAACCTGCTCAGGAAAATATTTAGTGGTGATCAATCGAATTCTGTTGTATGCTCAAACAGGATTAGATGAGACTGTGAAGTTCTTGCAACAAGCTATTTTATGTAGGGAACCCTTAAAGACCACTGAAAAATGTTAGACCTTGGTTCACCCTCCCAAATGTAGAGTGACTTATTTGTGTGTGTAAACCTTGGGTTCCTATTGCAGAACAATAAATCCTTTCAAAATATCTTCTGACTTGTCAGAGATGTGCAACTCAAAAGGGATATTGTAATGGTGAATACATTGCTTTGATTGAAGTAGAATGTACACCATATAGTGATATTTCATAGACTACTGCAGGCATAGGGGCACTCCAGACGCTTTGGACTATACCTCCCATGATGCTTTGCCAGCATTATGGGGATGTAGTCCACAACATCTGGAGTGCTGATGGTTGCCTATTACTGGACTAGTGCATGGTCAGAAATTGGTTTGGACGAATCAGTTTGTCTAACAAAGGAAAATTTGATTGGTTTGATCGAAAATTTTTAGCAGACAAATTTTTAACTTGAAATTGTTTTTGAAAAAATTATTCAGACAAGTGAAAATGATAAAATATATATATTTTTTTCTTTTCAGTACATAGGCACATTTTTCTGACATTTGTGTCATAGTTCAAGATAAGTAACCAACAGAGGGGGGGAAGGTGGTAAGTAACCTTTGGCACTGCAGATGTTCTGGACTACAGCTCCCCTAATGCTTTTGCATTGTAGTCCACAACACAGAGAATGCAGAAGGTTGCCTATCCCTGTTCTTTATATAATTTTTTTTTTTTTTTTAATTTGGGTGGTGGTGGGGGGGGGGAGGGGGGTGGAGGAAGTTGGTACTTTCCCCTTCCCCTCATTTTTGTAGTACTGTCCACACAGGAATTGTTCCAGGTCCCTCAAAATGCAGGAAGCTCTATAGCAGCATTTGCTTAAGTGAGCAGACTGGCCACCCTCTTTGGGGCAGGCATGCCTCCTTTGACAGGCACCATCTATGTGATAGGCGAGTCCCCCCTCCTTTGACCTCTGTCCTGAAAGGCAGGCAGGTATAATTGGCAGTTATGTTATTGGCAGTCACCTAACCATCAATTATAATTTATTTTTTTCTTCTCATTAATGTGTTTTTGTTTTGGTTTTTTTTAGGGGGGTTGGATGGAAACTCAAATCACGAAACAAACTGTGCGTTCGGTTGTTTCGTGATGCATTGATTTGGTAGTTTAGAGTCATAGAATTCAAAAAATTTACAATTATTTGGAAACCAAATGCACAAATATAATATTTAATGTCTATTACCATTGATGTTTGAAATAAAACTGCTGCTCGGCAATCACCTAGTCTCTTGAGAAGTAGACCATGATGTAACTCTACAACAGATAGAGAATCTGTTAGATGTAGATAACTAAAATGGATCAGTGTAATGCAAATTGTGTAAGCATTCTTACAGGTGGATACACTGATCAACACAATATTAAAAGTACTGAAAAGTGAAGTGAATAATATTGATTATTTTCCTGTTGTAAATGGCAGTACTGTACGAGTGGATACGTCCCTCTATGAAGTGGACAAGAGGCTCTGCAGTAAAGTAAAAATATTAACATAATCCCGCCTACTTACTCATAAAAGACTGATCCCTCCTTCCATCCTCAGTTCTTCTTGTCCTGACAGCGGCATGGACAAGACGCTCTAGAAAGGATGGATGACGCCAGGGAGATGCATACCCGGGAGGTGAGCTGAGTGGCTACCTTTCCATTTAATGCTACAGAACGCAAGTCGGGAAGGATTATTAATGCCGGCAGGAGGAGGTCCCAGAGGCAGGCCAAGTGACTGCGCAACGCAGTTGAACGCACGCCCGGGTGTCCTTAAGTTCCGATCGTGCATGTGCGGATCGGAGCTTTGAAATTTGGTGTGAACATTTTAAAATGTAACATATAAAGCTGTACAGGACCCTACTGACACCAGGGGTGGTCATTAGTATTGGTTTATCGTGTCACCAGCCCTCCCACATTAAGTGAGGTTTTTGTTTTTTTAAGGTGAGTTTAAAAGTCTCTACTTTAAAAATCCTCATAAGTAATGCTCTTTAGTATTAATCATTTTCTTAAATTTCAGATATATCCAGTACTGCATCCGCAGACAAGGACAAGAAGAAAATGTCAGCGCCAGCTCCCAGAAAGGCTACATGTAAAGCGAAACACCTCTTCTGTATAATATGTGACATCCCTCTTCCAGATGGATGCAGGAAAAAGACATGCAACAACTGTTCTGCAGAAATATTAGAAAAGTCAAAACAAAAAAAATGCCCTCTTTTAAAAGCTGGTTTCAGGAAAACTTATCTCAAACATTCAAATCCTTTAAAGATTCAGTACAGAATGACAGCAGGGCTGCTAAGACATTAGAGAAAGAAGATAAGAAACGGATGAAGTCATCTCCATCGGACCTGTCTTCAGGCGAATGTTAAAGCTCTTCCAGATTGGAAGTTTCCAGCTTGGATGAAGCCTTTTACACCAGAGGAACTAAAGAAACTGGTGAAAGAATTTGCTGCCCTGTTTCAGAGAATAGTACCTACTAAAAGTAAGGTGAGAGGTTTCCCTTCAAATCCCAGAATTTTGAAGTTGCTCCAGAGAGAATGGAAAAATCCTGAAAGACTAGCTTTCATTAGAAAACATTTTAGATTTTTAAGTTACAGAGCGAAGAAAGAGGGGAAGATCTCCCAAAAGCAGACATTCGGGTGGCTCAACTTAAAAAAAAAAAAAAAAAAACCCACTATTCTAATAGAAGATTCTGGCTTAAAGGAGCCGATGGATAAACGTGCAGAAACGTCCTGCAGAAGGGCATATCAGGCTGCAGGAAATCAGTGCAAAGTAGCTATTTCAGGGGCCGTGGTTGCAAAAACCCAAAGTGTTTGGCTTTTGTCTATGGAGGATATGATTACAGACAAAGCAGATAAAGGTCTGCCTCAGTTGTTTAACCTTTTGCGTTTCACTAATGAATTTATATAAGATTTGACCGACGCCGAAGTACTAAAGCTATCAGACCGAATAATGGGTCTTTCAGGTTATTGTGGCTCAGAACATGGACTGCGGCCACAGAATCAAAGGCGGAAAACAAGAAAAAACCTGATTTGCGCCAAGTATAAATTGAAATAAGTATGGATGTGTGTGTATATATATATGTTTATTTTCTATAAGCCTTTGAGTAGATGATGCTTTGAGTCAAAAGTCCTCCTTGGCGTTCAAATAAATTAGGTTTTGATTGAGGTAGGGAGTTCTGTTATTGGCATCTCATGTAAAATTATAAGCAGAAAAGAAAAACCAATAGTGCATTCAATATCTCAATGTAAAGAAAAAGAATACACTCATAAGGATATAGAACCTCCAATCAGCTCTTAGATAAGGCTCTGTGTGGTATAATCCCCACTCACGGATGAAACTGGAATTCTTCTCTTTGAGTGTTCACAGTGGAAGCGGCATATGAAAGAAGAAAAACAGGATATAGTGCTCACTGTTTCAAATCAATAAAAGTGTGGATAAGTATGAAAATTACTCACAGTTTAAAGAGCACTTCATGCTCAATGAGATCAGCTTAGGTGGAATGATCCCCACCAAGGATATATATGAGATGGGGTAGATGATGGTCCCTGGCGAGGTTTCTTTAAAATGATAAATGCAGGATTAAAAAAAATATATATAAAAAAAACACATAACAGGTAAAAATGTTTATTGTAATATACCACACAAAATGAAATAAAAGCGAATTTAAAAGTCCTTCTGAATAGTCACAAACAGTTTCGCCCTTGGTGCCCAAGGTGAAACCTTATCAATATGTAGCAACTGAAATGGGCAAGCCCTATAATTTAACCATGTAACTTTCAAAAACACCATAAAACCTGTACATGGTGTCATTGTTGTATTCATGGGATATCACGGCATACAAATGTTTTATTTAAAAAAAAAAAAATGTTAGGAAACTTTGCATCCTTAAAGGAACTCTCCAGTGCCAGGAAGCGTTTTCCTGGCACTGCAGGACTCTGCATTTCCCCCCTCCATCCCATGATGCTGACGGGATTAAAACCCCTTCAGTGGCTTATCTGAATCCAGCACCAATGTCCCTCGGTGCTGGGTCAGGCTCCGCCGCCAACATCAGCCGGCGGGGGAGACCTAATGCAGTGCAAGGGCTGTGCTCGCATTAGACCTCCCCATATGAAATGGGAGGTCGCTGGGGATTCCGGCGACGCTGCATAGCGTGAGGATGTCCATCGTCGTTTAAAACACTTTTCGTGTTCTAAAAACACGGAAGTCACTCTAGTGGCTGTCTGAGAGACAGCCACTAGAGAAGGACTTAACCCTGCAAGATAATTATTGCAGTTTATAAAAACTGCAATAATTACACTTGCAGGGTTAAGGGTGGTGGGAGTTGGCACCCAGACAACTCAAATGGGCAGAAGTAGTCTGGGTGCCTAGAGTGTCCCTTTAAAGGGACACTCCTGACCGCTAAAACACTTTAGCTTCCTGAAAAGCCTTGTGTGAAGTGTCCTTTTAAAAAAAAAAAAAATTTTTTAATAAATAGTTCAGCTTTTAATAGAAATTTTACAACATGACAGGAAGCTTCCTAGCATAACTTTCTTTACTTATGCCTCCAGCAACACAAGATAATAATTTCAAACTTTTAACCAATCATAGGCCAGCATAGCCTGCATATAAGTCCTTGCTGGGCGTGTATATTCCTCTTTCTTTGCTGCTTCCAGACAGACACAGGTCAGAGTGATTCATTCAGAGTTATACATATTACTGTTTTATATGCTGCATTGCTTTTCCATATCTTAATTTATTGCTTTCACCCTCAACCCTCCCTATCCTCTCTACCCTGTACTGCACCCTCCTTCTATTTGCCCCACCCGCGATCGCGGCATTTTACCACGACCGCGCACTTTTTTTCGGGGCTCCGAGCGGGCATAGGGGTTCTCTGGGAGGTGGGAAGGGTAATCTGGGGGTTCTCTGGTCGCGGCCCTAACTCTCGGCGGCGGTCCACAATCAGATTCGTCTACTGCGGCCATCTTGATTCACACGATCCATTCACCAATCAAATATATATTTAAGGACACAGACAGTTTTACATCACCCTGCACTGGAACTTCATTGTGAATAACTGGAATATACATATGGTACATTGCACTGTAAGTGGTTACAGAACGGACACCTCTCAGTCAGGGGTACGCCCCACTCACGTTACTGCTATTATTATTATACGGGTGACCCCCCTTACGCTGAGTGACCCCAGCAGAGCCGTATTTCACTCAAATTACCCAGAGGGGCGACCCCCCACAGGCTCTAGAATCACAGTGCAAGCTGGCTCATACCCTGCTATATCATTATAATATATACATGACTGTATGCATGGTACCCACATTACGGCTGGGTGATCCACATACCTCCCTACCAAGGAGAGTGGAAAATTGGCAGTAACAGGCTCCACAATTCAAACAGTGCTGCGTGAACCCCAAACTACAGGCCCTCCACCCAGATGGGTGCGGCCCATTTATACGACCACTCATCCCAGTCTCACAGAGGGTGATCCCCTCCTCATACCACTTGACCCCAATTTAGCAGGCCCTCCACCCCTCACGGTTGCGGCCCACTTATACGACCGCTCATCTTGGTCGCATAGAGGGTGACCCCCTCTCCAAACCACTCGGGGCAAGTAATGCTGTGTGACCCCCAGTCGTAAGTGGAAGCCTAATATATTAAACTTCACGTACTTCGGTACCTGACATTCTCCTGTCTTCCACAGACAGAATACCCCACTGCCTCACGATGAGTGACTCGCCAAACTCACCACCGTCTGACTTACAGTCAATTATTAATTCGGCGGTGGCCGCCTCAGTGGAGAAAGCTATTACCAAACTACTGGTACAGAACACTAAAAAGGACACGACCACCGAACCAACCGCAGAACTGAAAGAGCCTGCCTTCCCCGCCATAAAACGGCAATGGAAGGGTGTCGGCTCAAGCAAACAGAAGCCTAAGGGCAAAGCTCCATTGAAAAGGAGCCGTCAGACAGAAAGAAGGGGACCATCCCCGCCACACACTCTGTCCTCGGAGGACAACGACCACAACCCCCCGCCGTCACTCAAAATTATGGATGAGTGGAAGGCGGAGGCTTTGTCATCGGAAGAAGAAGAGTGGCAGGATATCCCAAGGGATGATACGGAGTACGACCATGACACATACTTTAAACAAGAGAATGCTCATCATTCACGGGACAAACTGGAAGAAGGCACCTTTATAGACCTCCAAGGGGCAACCATGTTTGACCCCCGCACGATCCGACACCCAAGATCGTCGGAATGGGGCTTGCCAGATCACCTGGCCCAGTTCATCCATTTCTGGCTAAGAAAGCCGATGGAAAAAGAAGTGAGGGCAAGACTACGAGCAGAATGCCCAAGGCCCGTACTGCTGGATAAAATTGCACAAACTCCGGAATTCGACACTACCGTACTCCCCTTCATGTCCCGCACGGGCCGAGATTCAGAGAAGGGTCTGAAGGAATCTCTGGACAAGCTCCTGGACATACTAGGTTCTCTGGCAAAAATACTATACCTAGCCGACCCAGCCCTCTTCCAGGGCACAACGCTGGACGCCCACTCCATACGAGAATGGGCTACGAGATCAAGTTTTCAGACACCCCGGTGCAGAAACGTCGCCCTCCACCAATAAGGGCGTCGGCACATCACACCGAACTCATAGACAACGAGATCCAGACCCTATTCGACAAAGTGGCTGTGCAGATTGCCCCAGACAATACGAGCTTCTTCAGCAACATCTTCGTGGTCCAAAAGAAGACGGGAGACTACAGACCGGAGACTACATCAACCTACGACAACTGAACGGATTTGTTACCTACCGACATTTCAAAATGGAAGGGATCCACCTCCTCAGAGATCTACTACAAAAACACGACTGGTTCACCCGGCTAGACTTAAAAGACGCCTATATTTCGGTACCGATCGCCCAAGTCAGCCGACCTTTCCTCCGCTTCACCTGGAAAAACCTCACTTGCCAATTCTCCTGTCTCCCATTCGGCCTCAGCTCAGCACCATGGTGCTTTACAAAGCTCATGAAGCCAGTAATGGCATACCTAAGGGGAATGGGCATCCGTTGCCTAATATATCTGGACGACATTCTGATATTCTGCGAGACCGCATCCAGACTGCGATCTCAAACGAAATTCATAGTGCAATTACTGGAATCTTTGGGCTCCATCGTAAACAGAGAAAAGTCATCGCTCCGCCCAGCCAAGGTGGTACAGTTTCTGGGGTTCGAAATAGACTCCAGAACGTGCACCCTGCGACTGCCAATGGCGAAAATCGCGACAATACGGAAGGAGATACACCGGGTAGTCCGCAAAGACTCAATACCACTCCGCCTCCTGGCCAGAATAGTAGGTCTATTATCGTCTTCCATACAAGTGATCTTCCCGGGACCACTCCACTATCGGGCCATGCAACGAGCGAAGGCACACCACTTGAGACAGGGACATACATACGACCACTGGATTCCAGTATCAACAGAAGTGCGAACAGAACTCCAGTGGTGGCTCCTCCACATGGAGGCCTGGAACGGCAGAGCCATATTTGGACCAAACCCGGACTTTGTCCTGGAGTCGGATGCCAGCCTATGGGGCTGGGGAGCCCACTGCTTGCAGGCATCCACCGGAGGCCCATGGTCAGAGGAAGAAAAACTCCTACACATCAATTGCCTTGAGTTGATAGCGGGCTCCTTTGCGATACGCAGCCTGGCCAAACACATGTCCAACTGCTGCATACTTTTACGCATGGACAACATATCAGCAGTCCAATACATAAACCATCTGGGCGGAGCCAGATCACGAGCCCTGACAGAAGTGACGAAGGACATCCATCGGTTTTGCCTTCCCCGCAACATCACAATCAAGGCAGAATACCTACCTGGAGTCAACAACCTCACTGGTTCTCTCGACATTGGAGGGACAGAAGCGACTGGCACCTAGACAACACAATCTTCCACAGGGTGAGAACGCTAAGAGGTCCCCTACACATAGACCTCTTGTGTGACGAACACACAACTACCGAGGTTCTACAGTTGGCTCCCGGACCCACAGAGTGAAGCGGTGGACGCATTCTTACAACAATGGCCACCGACAGGGGCGTACGCATTCCCACCATTCTCAATGTTGGCAAGAGTCCTCCACCACCTACGCGGAGCAAGGACATCACTGATACTGATCACACCATTGTGGAAGAACCAAGCATGGTTTCCAGGCCTACTAGCACTCTCGCAGGAGCATCTACTAGTCTTACCAGTGTTCCCACTTCTCCTAACGAATCCGGAAGGGGAACCTCACCCACTAATAACACAGGAACGGTTAGAACTAGTGGTCTGGAGTTTTTCCGGGGATCCTGGAGCGTCGCAGGTCTATTGCAGACAACTAGAGACCTACTATGGGACTCATGGGCACCTGGCACTAGACGCAGCTACATATCAGCATGGAATACATGGAATTGCTGGTGCATGGAAAGGGACCTCGATCCCTTTACAGCACCTATTTCCTACATTCTAAATTTTCTGTCCAACTTATTCACCGAAGGGAGAGCATATCGTTCTATTAATATTAGCTCACACTCCGATAGACGGAACACCAAGAGGTCAGAACGTTTTGATATGCTGGCTACTTCAGGGCATCAAACTATCCAGACCTCCAGCCCCGAAGTCTAACAGGCTATAGGATGTAGATCTGGTCATTCGATTCCTTCAAAACTGCCCGGACAACGAGACATTGTCTCTAAGACAAATAACAGCTAAACTGACACTTCTACTATGCTTAGTTTAATTTCGAAGAGTCTCAGACGTTAGCGCTTTCGGCGTGGATGGTTTTACTATAACACCAGATGGAGTTACCTTCACGGTGTCTCGCAGGACCAAGACGGACTCTTCATCCGTGTCCTACCCCTTTTTTCCGACGGTTCCTCGGCTATGCGTCGTGAAAACGCTTATACGGTACGAAGAAGTAACTCAGTCTCTTTGTTTTTCCCGATCAGGTCAACTGCTGGTATCGTATACCAAACCATACAAACCGGTAACTACAACCACGTTGGCTAGATGGATACGTTGGCTCCTAACTCTGGCAGGGGTCGAGTCGAATTTCGGGGCCCACTCGGTACGCGGGGCGGCGGCCTCACGGGCCTTTTCGGCAGGAGCATCGTTAAAGGATATTTTGCGCTCAGCGGACTGGACTAGAGAAAATACCTTCAGGGTTTTCTACTTCCAACAAACATCACACGCATCTTTTTCGTTGTTACCGCAGCGTTAAAAATGCAAAATAGGAAGCCTCCTGTCATGTTGTAAAATTGTAGATTATGCTAACGTAGTGTACCTATAATCTTAATTTTAGTAATGACAGGAGGCGAGTATTTCCCCCCCCATAGAGTTTGGGTTGACCCTCCCTATACTCTCGCAGCCTTCCAACATAAGTACGACGCTTCATTGCACAGTTACATTATTATTGGTATAAAGGGGACGTCTATTGATGACGACAGTTTTATTATTAATACACGTTTATAGTTTCGCATTGGGGACAATAACCTGCATAGTAATTTAGTCGGTATTGTAGACAGAAAGGAACTAGGTAGCACTTAGGAGACACAATAGGTATCTCCATAGTAAGTCAATTGGACAATATATTGAATAATTAAGAGATAGATCGCTAAGCTTACATGTGGACAACAGTTCAATTCCACCACCTTTCACCTATTTCTATCTTTTTCAGCATAAAAGGATTCGGAAGTCGGGCTGAAAGGACCCCTTCAAGCCACAAGCCAAGTTACGATCGTTCAAGTTACCAATGTTCAAGTTTGGAAAATTCATCATATTCCTGATGTTACAGGACTTAAAGCACCAAAGAAAGAGGAATACACACACCCAGCAAGGACTTATATACAGGCTATGCTGGCCTATGATTGGTTAAACGTTTTGATTGATTATCTTGTGCTGCTGGAGGCATAAGTAAAGAAAGTTATGCAAAATACTCGCCTCCTGTCATTACTAAAATTAAGATGATAGGTACACTACGTTAGCATAATCTACAATTAACACTTTTATAAATTCATCTGGCTACACCACCTAGCTTGTAAAGCAGACAACAGGTCCTGTTACTTCCTGGTTTGGTTAGCTAATTTGCACTGAACTCAAGAGGCAGCAATTGTTCAGAGCCACCTGCCTTGCAAAGATTTATCATTGAGTTGCACTGGGAAGCCTGTGATTGGACAGCCACAGAAAGTCTGGGCAGGGTTAGAAGAGGGGGGTTTGCAAAGGCAGCAGACGAGATCTGCAGATTTTGCAAGCTGTTTTAGATATAACTCCAATGAAAAAAGGCATAATTAAATGCATGTAGGTTTTCAATTGGGGTATATTTATCAAATAGTGATTTTTATTTATTTTGTATTTGGGCATTGGAGTGTCCCTTTAGGTGTGTGTATGTGTGTGTGTGTGTGTATATATATATATATATATATATATATATATATGTATGTGTATATATATATATATATATATATATATACATACATACATATGATTGCTTAACATTGCTGTGAAAATCCGTATATATACATATAGTTCTCTTGTAAAATTTTTTGGATTAGAAGACCATGAAAAGTACCAATTTCTTTACAAAATGTAAAGCAGGGAAATGCAAGGATGCACTTTCGAAAAAGAAAATTATTGTAAACATTTTAATAATTTTTAAAGTGTGTTATAGACACTAAAATTCACATTAATCTGGCTCCATGTGAAATAAAATTACTAAAAGCACAACAGCTGGTTTTAAACCATACCAAGAAACAGATCTCAGCTGGCAAGCTATACATTGCCTAACATTGATTTATATAACACAGAGCATTAAGTTTAACCCCTTAAAGGACCACTATAGTGCCAGGAAAACATACTCGTTTTCCTGGCACTATAGTGCCCTGAGGGTACCCCCACCCTCAGGGTCCCCCTCCCGCCTGGCTCTGGGGAGAGGAAAGGGGTAAAACTTACCTTTTTTCCAGGGCCGGGCGGGGAGCTCTCCGCCTCCCCTTCGGCAAGAGCTGCGGGCGCATTCAGCCGGTCTCCTAGGAAAGCATTCATAATGCTTTCCTATGGACGCTTGCGTCTTCTCACTTCTCACTGTGATTTTCACAGTGAGAAGCACGCAAGCGCCTCTAGCGGCTGTCAATGAGACCGCCACTAGAGGATTTGGAGGATGGATTAACCCATTTATAAACATAGCAAGTTTAACCCCTTAAAGGACCACTATAGTGCCAGGAAAACATACTCTTTTTCCTGGCGCTATAGTGCCCTGAGGGTGCCCCCACCCTTAGGGTTTCCCTCTCGCCGGGCTCTGGTGAGAGGAAGGGGTTAAAACCTTACCTTTCTCCAGCGCCCGGCAGGGAGCTTTCCTCCTCCTCTCCTCCTTCCTAGCGACATCAGCGATGAATGCGCATGCTTTCTTATGGACGCTGGCGTCTTCTCACTGTGATTTTCACAGTGAGAAGCACGCAAGCGCCTCTAACGGCTGTCAATGAGACAGCCACTAGAGGCTGGATTAAGCCTCAGTGTAAATATAGCAGTTTCTCTGAAACTGCTATGTTAATAAAAAATAAAAAAAAAGGGTTAACCTTAGCTGGACCAGGCACCCAGACCACTTCATTAAGCTGAAGTGGTCTGGGTGCCTATAGTGGTCCTTTAACCCCTTAAGGACACGTGACATGTCATGATTCCCTTTTATTCCAGAAGTTTGGTCGTTCAGGGGTTAAGGACCAAACTTCTGGAATAAAAGGGAATCATGACATGTCACACATGTCATGTGTCCTTAAGGGGTTAAGCACTCATGAGATAAAAGGTTTTTCCTAACCTGTGCACTTAGAGTTAAAACTACTGTCACTTGTTAGAAGACTTCAACAATTAAAATAATTAGCTTAATTGGTTTTCCTTTCAGTGATGTTATCTATATTTATTGGAATGTCTTTGTGAATGTGTAACAAGCACAGGCTAGTTAACTGGTCCTGATGAACATGAAGGTTTGAGATGGACCTCTCAGCTGATGCCACGCTTACTGAAGAGGTTGAAAGGATGAGAAGTAGAGGTATAATGGTTGAGAAGATGTCTTCATCACAAACACTCCAATCACTACAAGGACAGTTTGTGTAATGTAATTTTTTTTCCTTTTTGTGAATTAAAGTTTTAGGAGTGGTTAATAGCAATACCAAAATGCAGAAAAGCGGGCACACAGGTCCCTAAAAGTTACAATTTCTCACTTTTACATGGCCACGCAGGGCTGCTTTAAGCAAACCAGTACGAATTTTCGATTACAGCATTCCCGTGAAAGTCCTAGATAACATTGGAAATTACAAAGAAAGTATTAACTCAATCAACGTTAGTGATATAGCCCTAGTTTTTCTGTGGAACCGTGTACTAGAGTGCGATTCTCTGAGGTCATGTCAGAAGGAATAAGGCAGCTGAAACCTATACACCACTTGTAGTGAAAAGGGGTTGAGTGCCGTCCTTAAACAACGTCTCCTATGAACACGGCCCCGTGTCCACGAGTAATATATTCGTTAAAATAGCGGGGTTTCTACGTGGTCTGGACCGGTGACCCGAGACCCTCATCTAAATCTGTCTCTGCTCTAGAGGGACGTGCCTCTCCTCTCCCAGGATTCCCTCTTGTTGCCCGTATGCCAACAGTTTCTGAAAGTCTGCATGGTAGACTACTGTCAGCCAGTGTGTTCATATGTCCATATATGTATGTGAGCTTCCTTGTGCTGTAAATGTCAAGTCTGCACAGTTCTTTCCTTTTGTCAAACCATACTGTTAAGGGAGGGGTGTGTCTTTCTTCTAATAGAAGTGTAAAACTTGTTTTACAGTAATTAATCTTCTAACCATTAGGAATTTCTTGTATTTGGCAGTCGATGTTGTGGTGTGATGCAAGCGGTAGGGGCAGGTCTAAAGGGAGGGGGATTACCAGAGAACTTTTGTAAGACTTTACTTATTGCCCACAAATAAAGTATACTCTTAGGGCAGTCCCACCAAATGTGCAAGAATGTGAATAGGCCTTTGTGGCATCGCCAGTATCTATTGCTCAGGCCTGGGTTTTTATTCTGAAGAAGCTGCGGCGTTCTGTACCACAAGTATAGGACCTTGTAATCTGTCTATTGGGGTTTCCATGCTAGAGTGCAGTGGTGGACCAAATCACATATCTTGCCCCATTGCTGTTCAGTCAAAGTGTCCCCTATCATGGTTTCTCATATGGCCATGTACGGAGGTGAGGGGAGGTTCATATTTCGTAGGAGCAGGAAATATATATGGGATACTGCATGTAAGAGCAGGTCCAGATCATCACTCAGAACTTTAAATACAGCCCGTATGCTACATAGGTTGGGTGTCTGTGGAATTTGGCTTATGAATCTCCATAGTTGTTCATATTTTTGCATGTGTAGAAATGCGGCACATGTATCGTCTGTAGAATCACAAAGAGGTCTGATCTTGTCCTCTACCATTAAGTGACACCTCCTGTCTGAGTTTGCTTAATCTCCTTCCACGGTTTGACAACACCATCTTTAACCCTCTCCAATATTCTCTGCAAGTGGGAAACTCTGTAGTAGAGTTGAAAACCGGGGACCGCCAACCCACCTTCAGTTTTTGGTCTCGTCAGTACTTGATACTTAAGTCTAGGTGTGGGCACGAGCCCCATATGTACCGTATCATTAACGACCTTAGAGACGTGAAATATGCAGTTGGGATGTGAATGAGAAGCATTTGAATAAATAAAGGATGCAAGGTAATAGGTTAATTTTTATCACCGCAATGTGTCCAAGCCAGGACGAGTGAGGCAACGTCTACTCCTCCAAGTTCTTCTTGAAATTATTAAGCAGGTGTTGAAATTAAGGTGATGCAGCTGAGAAAAATCTTTGCTGAGCCAGATCCCCAGCTACCCAATTGCTCTATCAGACCAGTGGAAGTGAATATTCTTACGAAGCACATCGGCTCTCTTAGCAGGTATAGTAAGATTGAGCAAGTTGGATTTTGTGTAGTTGATCTTAAAATTGGAGATCTTGCCGTAATGTTCGAATTCCCACATAATGTTGGGGAGAGTCGTCTAAGGCAGAGAAACAAAAAATATCAGGTCGTCCGCATATGCAGCCACTTTATCTTTTGAGGGTCCCACCTCAATTCCCTGAATGTCCAGGTATCTCCTGACTGCCTGAAAGAACAATTCTAGGACAAGAACAAACAGCAGCAGCGGCTGTTTCTGTTGCAAATTCTGCGCGAGTCAGTAAGGAATGTAATTATTCTGGTCAATTTCTCTTCTCCATTCAGTAAGCCAAGTAGTAACTTCTCCCTGAAGAAATGACTCCACTGTAATCTGCTCACCATCAGCTAGAAGTGGCTAGAAATGCTTTGATAGTAATTTAACTTTAACAGGATACATGCTTTTCAGATTCTCATTTCGTTCATACATGGAAACATGCTTCTGTACGATATATATATATATATATAATTTCACATTACATAGGATGCTCATAGTACATGTGCCTTCCGTTCATATATTTTATAAAGATTTGGGTATCTTCGAAAGGTCTCAGCAAGAAATAGTGAACAATTCACATGTAGTATCAATGAGACATCTATGGTTATTATGATATCCCAGCATTTCAATTGCATTTAGATTTGGGGCCATGATCACCAGTTCTGATGATCACCAAAGAGAATCTCATTAAGAATAAAAGTATGAGGGGGGGCGTGGCTTGGAAGCCGAGAATGATGGTGGCGTAATCCAGGAGCTCCCCCGCAGGCCAAGCACAAACCCTCCTCGTAGCACCTACACCTCGGGCAGAAATGGGTAAAACCCACCGGGCACCGAACACCACCAAGCCGACGGACACGCCGAAGGGCACAGCTGCCGCTTCACTTCGGCAATTCCTCGTGACT